CTAATTTCAGCTAACATGCATATTTAGTTACACCTGATTAAGATAGAGAACATGCAACTGGAAGAAAAAAACCTCACACCAAGTCTACGCCAAAGGAGTAAAACTTTTAAATATGGGAACTTTCAAAACTTAGGAAAGGACATATAGGGAAAAATATTTCTCGTTTCATTTTTACCACATCTTGTCGTGCCTTTGGTGGCAACATTTTTCATTTTATTTAGAATCAATTATGGATTTGCCATTTTTTGGGATGGCATTTGTGGATTTTGCCCTTTTTTGAATAGTTTATGGATTTTGCCCTTTTTCAGGCTACGGAAATATGATTTAACATGCTTTTTATTCGTTATGTTTGGGTTTAGTCGGTTGTGGTTGTTCTTAGGGTTTAGTATTTTGTATAAACTACGTATTTTTACCAAAAAAAATCCGAAATACGTACATTTTTAAGTGTAAAAAAATGGCAAATCCGTAAGATTTTAATGAAAATGGCATTTTCAAAAGATTTTGATAAAAAAGGGCAAAATCAACAATAATCCCTTTTATTTAGTTAGCAAATTATATATATTTTTAATTAATAGTTGGCAAATAAATGTTCAAATTAATAAATAAAAATATTATTTTGTTTATTATAAAGTTTTTCTATGATATACAGAAATTCTTAATACCAATTGAGTTCAATTGAAAAAGTCGACCATAAAGACTACAAACAAAAAAGCCCAAGAGAACCCACATACAGTATTTGATAAACCAAATTGAACGACGCAAGCAAAACATAATAATTCGATGGATGTGAAAACGGTCAAATCTGTTAAAATTAAGGACCGATTATTCACAATCACAAGGAACTATGATGGGACGGGATGTTAAATCTGTCGATCATATTTAAATTTCCCGTAATAGTTAGTACACATGCCAACAAAACAAATTAAATTTGTCGATCATATTTAAATTTCCGTAATAGTTAATTAATACACATGCCAACAAAACAAATAGAGGGGCCGGCCGTTTACTATTCTCACAATCTCCACACACGTAAATACACGTGTGGACGTATATGAACACATTCCAAATGTAAGCGCATACATAAGGTCAGTGACCTATTATGATCTTCATATTTTTAGGTGTACACGTGACCTAATATTGGCGCAGCCATACCAAAAATCGGAAAAACAAGTTGGTGAAAGTTAAGCCATCAAATTGTTTCGATTCGTTGATTGTAAATCTTACGTGTATAACATTTCAATTAATAAAAGGAAACAGGAAACACGTACGTGACATTATCAGTATCGTATCTTATGTGTTCGTACATTGACCTAAACTAATAATTAAACTGACGTACAAATTAATGCGTTCATATACAAAACAAAAAAAAGTAGTTGCGAAACTGATAAACTGCCATGTTATTGCATTAGAACAAATCACTCCAACCAACCTTATAAAAATGAACTTTAAAATCACTATTTTTCATATTCAAACAAATCAAAAACTCAAGAACCACACCCCAAAAAAAGAAACTAATTAAGTTGTGATGGAGTCATCGACGACAACATCGTATTCAGTTGTGTCGGAGCTAGAAGGAACACTACTCAAAAACCCAAAACCCTTCGCTTACTTCATGCTCGTTGCTTTCGAGGCTTCAGGACTAATCCGTTTTGCGACTTTGCTGTTTCTCTGGCCTATCATAGCACTCCTTGAAGTTTTGGGCTACAGAAACGGTAGCCTTAAGTTAATGATCTTCGTCGCAACGGCCGGTTTGCATGAATCAGAGATTGAATCAGTGGCTCGAGCCGTTCTTCCCAAATTCTATATGGACGATGTCAGCATGGACGCTTGGAGAGCGTTTGGTTCCTGCGAGAAGAGAGTCGTTGTGACAAGAATGCCACGAGTTATGGTTGAGAGATTCGCCAAGGACCATCTTAGAGCCGATGAGGTCATCGGTACAGAGATTGTCGTAAACCGTTTTGGTTATGCTACTGGTTTGATTCAGGAAACCAATGTGGACCAATCTGTATTCAACAGTGTGGCTAACTTGTTTGTTGATCGAAGACCTCAACTAGGTCTAGGACGACAGATTACCTCGGATTCTCCAACTTTCCTATCGTTATGTGAGGTGAGTACTAAAACAAGAAAAAGTAGGAATATTTTAGGTTGTTTTACAATTTAGGAAAACGTTACTATATTATTCTTCTAATTTGAATGATTGCATATGTTATGTCTATGTAGGAACAAGTTCATGCACCGGTTCCATCAAACTACAACGGTCATATCCAGCGGCTACATGTGCAGCCGTTACCGGTTATTTTCCACGATGGACGACTTGTGAAGCTGCCGACACCAGCCACCGCACTCCTCATCCTTGTTTGGATCCCCTTTGGAATAATCCTAGCCATGATTCGGATCTTCGTTGGGTTCTTGCTCCCATTATGGGCCATACCTTACGTCTCACGGATATTCAACACTCGATTCATCGTAAAAGGAAAGCCTCCGGCACCAGCAACCCCCGGAAACCCAGGCGTACTATTCGTATGCACTCATAGAACCCTAATGGATCCGGTTGTATTATCCTATGTACTCGGACGTAGCATCCCAGCCGTTACCTACTCCATTTCTCGGTTATCTGAGATTCTGTCGCCTATTCCAACCTTCCGGTTAACTCGAATCAGAGATGTAGACGCCGAGATGATCAAGAAAGAATTGTCTAATGGGGACTTAGTGGTATATCCGGAGGGAACCACTTGTCGCGAGCCATTTTTGTTGAGATTTAGCGCGCTTTTCGCAGAATTAACGGACAATATTGTGCCAGTGGCAATGAACTATAGAGTTGGATTCTTTCATGCGACTACTGCTAGAGGCTGGAAAGGTTTGGACCCCATCTTCTTTTTCATGAACCCGAGACCGGTTTATGAGGTGACGTTCTTGAACCAGCTCGAAGTGGAGGCTACGTGTTCGTCAGGGAAGAGCCCTTATGACGTGGCCAACTATGTACAGAGAATCTTGGCCGCTACGTTAGGCTTTGAGTGTACTAACTTCACGAGGAAGGATAAGTACAGAGTTCTCGCAGGAAACGACGGAACCGTGTCGTACTTGTCGTTTCTCGACCAAGTCAAAAAAGTCATCACAACATTCAAGCCTTTCTTCCATTAATTTTCAGGTTTTTAATTAAGTACTTTCGAAATTCTGTGATAACGACTGATTACAAACATGTTTTTGAGTTTTCATTTTTATTTATTTATTTTGTTGAAAGCAGATGACTACGGGTAACTTAACGGGTTTGTGTATTTTCTATAGTTTATCTATTGTGGAATGCAATCGCAAGTTCGCAACTATATAACATTTTCATTAAAATTTAAGATTAAATAAATGACAACGTCTTTGCATGTCGTCCAAGAGAGAGCTTAATCAAATAATTGAACCATTAATACCAAATATTCGGAAGTCAGAACCCTTGACCAATGTGGATTTGAACGATATAATCAACTTTATGTATATAAATGGTAATGACTACCGACCATACACGTCTAGCTTTTAGGTTGTCAATGTGGATTTTATTATTATTAGGCATTGTTACTAAAAACACACTAAACAATGACAATACGGATAAATACAAGTTTAATACATATTTTTACATATATTCACTCCAATATAATTATCCTACAAAATAAAATATTTCCTTGTAACATGTTTGTGTAATGAAAATATACGTTGAAGAAATATAGTTCTCTAACAACTTGTAATTTAGTTTGGTTGTGTAGATATCACACCTTAAAAGATGTATAAATTCGTTTTTAATCATAATTAAGGTGAGAAGATATATGGTTGGTATTGAGCAGACGATTTGTAGTCTGGTGGGGGTAGATTAGAAATTAATTAAGGAAACTTAAGCTGCTGATATAATCTTATAACTTTTTGAATCAAATAATAATCAATTGCTTATTTGGTTGGGATGATGACAATCTCTTTGACCGCCATATTTTTAGCTGCCGCCTTCCAGTTAGAGTTGGCCAACTTTTAGATTTGCCACAACATCATCAAAATAGTTAATAGTATAGGCTTCAGAGACCAATTAAAATTAGAAAATTATCTTAGATTAATTAGGTAGATATTAAAGAAAAATGTTTTTTTTTTCTAATCTTAAGATGTGAAGAAACGGAAAATGGGCTTTTCATTAGTATCTCTAATATAAATTCTGTTGTGGGCTTTTCATTAGGATCATAAGTAGCTTTCGTAAGCTTAGTGTTGTCCTTATACGGGGAATAACATACGTATAAACATACGAGATAACATGAAATGAGATAAAGAGAGTGACCAAAAAAGCCTGCAAAAAGGTGACCAATTCAACTCTATTTCTTTCTTACAAGTTACAACTCTTTCTAATCAATTATTCAATCTCACTCTTTTACTATTTGAATGTATTTAGTAAAAACTATTTCAGTTTATAAACCAAAAAGATTGTCTTTTTAGGCTGGTTTTATTTTGTTAAGTTTTGATTTAGTAAAAACTCTGATTAAAAGTAACATAATTACAAATTTACAATGTTAATAAGTAATAACAAAAGAGAGTTAATTTTCACATATATAATTTTATCGTATTATAAAAAAAAAAACGTTTTAAGAAAAGTAAAATAAAAAGTAGAAAAGAGTAAAATGAAGAGAAAGAGGTTTGCTTCTTCTTCCTTCCATTTCCACTCGATGTTCAGCTGCCCAAGCTAAGCTCGGATCTCAATCCAGCTTCGGTATTTTCCTTCTTTCTCTCTTCTTCTTTGTTACGCTCAGATTCCATGAAATAATCATCGCCTTGAGCTTCTCTCCGCGTAATCTAATTTTTGTTTCTAGATTATCTTTCCGTTTCTATCTCGAATTGCTTTTCATGGATCTATGATTAGTCTTTCGGATCTTTAAAAGCTTGAATTTCAGCTAAGATTTCAAATCAGGTTTTGTGTTTTTCAAATCCATAATCGGATAGTCTCTTCTTTGTGCGTTCCGATCTCTTTCAGCTGATTGTTAGCTGCGATTTCGATTGATTTTTGATGCTGATCTTCTTCGTGATAGACTACTAATCTTTCCCAATCTAATTATTATTCTCTGTTTGTTTTTCAGGTATCCCAGGAGCTTCAGCGTCTGACAGTGGTGTTTGGATTTGTTTTTTCTTTCCTTATTTAGGGTTTGTTTTCCTTTTTCGTCTGTTTTAATTCTTTATGATTATGAATTTTTCGATTTTAAGTTGAAATTTTTGGTTTTAGGTAGTGGAAGCTTGATGTCTAAATTGTTGCTGAAGTGCTTTAATTAGAAAGAGATGAGTTACACGAGCACTGATAGTGACCATAATGAGTCACCAGCTGCTGATGATAATGGAAGTGACTGCAGAAGTAGATGGGAAGGTCATGCTCTGAAGAAAGGGCCATGGAGTTCTGCTGAAGATGATATTCTTATTGACTATGTGAATAAGCATGGTGAAGGTAACTGGAATGCTGTGCAGAGACATACAGGCTTGTTTCGTTGTGGTAAAAGCTGTCGTCTAAGGTGGGCTAATCATCTGAGGCCAAACTTGAAGAAAGGAGCGTTTAGTCAAGAAGAAGAACAGCTTATTGTTGAATTGCATGCTAAGATGGGTAATAGATGGGCGCGTATGGCTGCACATGTAAGTTCCTTTTTTAAGTTGTTTCGATCTTTTTAGTGTTTGCCCCGCGGCTAAGCTAATTTCATAGAGTTTTTGTTTGCTCCAGTTGCCTGGCCGAACGGATAACGAGATAAAGAATTATTGGAACACTCGTATCAAGAGGCGACAACGAGCTGGTTTACCACTTTATCCTCCTGAAATGCATGTTGAAGCACTAGATTGGAGTCAAGAGTATGCCAAGAGTAGAGTTATGGGAGAAGATAGAAGACATCAAGATTTCTTGCAGCTGGGGAGTTGTGAATCTAATTTCTTCTTTGATAGTCTTAACTTTACAGACATGGTACCTGGTGCTTTTGACCTAGCAGATATGACTGCCTACAAAAATCTGGGTAATGGTGCAAGTTCTCCTCGATATGAAAACTTCATGACACCAATAATGCCCTCCTCGAAGCGAGTTTGGGAATCTGAATTGTTGTATCCTGGGTGTAGCAGTACCATAAAGCAAGAATTCTCGTCGCCTGAACAATTCCAGAACACATCTCCACAAAAGATTTCCAAAACTTGCAGTTTCTCAGTTCCTTGTGATGTTGAGCATCCTCTCTATGGAAACCGACATTCACCTGTTATGATTTCAGATAGCCATACCCCTACGGATGGCATTGTTCCTTCTTCTAAGCCCTCATATGGGGCAGTGAAGCTGGAGCTCCCTTCATTCCAATATTCAGAAACAACATGTGACCAGTGGAAGAAATCGTCATCTCCTCCACACTCTGATCTTCTTGATCCCTTTGATACTTACATTCAGTCTCCACCACCACCAACGGGGAGAGAAGAGTCAGATTTATATTCAAGTTTTGATACTGGTCTGCTCGATATGTTGCTTCTGGAGGCCAAGATCAGAAATAATACTACAAAGAACAATTTCTACAAGAGCTGCGCTTCAACTATTCCATCAGCTGATCTTAGCAAGGTTACTGTGTCCCAAACTAAATCCGAGGATTTTGACAATTCCCTTAAGAGTTTGGTCCATTCCGAGATGTCCGCACAAAATGCAGATGGAATTCCACCAAGTGAGTTACTATTCACCTTACCAGTTTCTACATCACTTGAAATAGGTTATTGATTAGATTTCATCTTCTTCCCTAGAATTCTATTTGGGATCCTGACTTTACATTAAAGAGAAATCATCCCTTGCATCAATTGGTTTCTTATAGCCGATGTTTTGAGCCTGATCAAGAACTCACCTAAACTTATAAAATTATGCAGGGCAGAGAGAGAAAAAGCGGAAACCTCTCTTGGATATAACACGACCTGACGTTTTGCTTGCATCGAGCTGGCTCGACCATGGTTTAGGGATTGTGAAAGAGACAGGTAGCATGAGCGACGCACTCGCGGTTCTCCTCGGCGATGACATAGGAAATGACTATATGAATATGAGTGTTGGGGCATCCTCAGGAGTTGGGTCTTGTTCTTGGAGCAACATGCCTCCTGTCTGTCAAATGACGGAACTACCCTAACGAGCCCGGGAAATCCTCATGGACTAGCAACTGCCAATGCAAGAACAATATCTTTTTCTTTGAGCCTTTTGTTCACAGCCGATACTTTGTTGGCTTCTGTACCAATAACCCATATCACGATTCATCACGAGGATGAAGTGGTTGATTTTGTAGAACTGGCTTCTTTAAGGACTATGGTATACATACAGTTGATTTGATTCAATGTTAAACAGCGAATTGTTTCGTTTATTTTTTCTCTTTGGAATAGTTTGATTTCGGTTTGCTTTATCAACGACTATGTTCCGGCCATTCGTTTGTAGACTAGATGATAGAAAAATGAAAACAAGATTATACCAGACGATCACAAAATTAGATCAAGACAGAGCATAAATAAAATTAGAACAAAAATAGATAATTAAGAATAGATTCGGCTGTCAAAAACTCTATGTAGAATAATATAGTAGCATGATGATATACCGGAAATATGAATTGTAACAAAAATTGAGTCCACGCTCTTCTCTGTCAAAACAAAATCTCAGAGCGTGCAGCTCGAGGGCTCGGATAAGTTAGGCTGTGGGTTTCTTGATTCTGATGATGTCCTTAAGCTCAGCAAACTTCTTCTTGCATTGATTCATCGTTTTCCCTGGAACAGCTGTTGCTACTCTCTCCCATCTTTGGTTTGTCTCCTTTGGGAAGGTCTTCAAAGCCTGAACCAGAGCTCTTTCTTGCACAGCAGACCAACCGTCTGGGTCTGAACCAGCAGCAGCATCTGGTTCAGAGTTGCCGTTGCTGTTCTCTTCTCTCTTACCATTCTGTTCTGCGGTCACTGTTTTGGGTGAGTTGTTGTCTTCATGAGGTTTGGTCGGTATAATAGGTTCTCCGAGTTCCTCTCGTGTAGAGAGAGGAGAAGTGATTGAAGCAGCAGGTTTCCTATTCTCCAGAAAAGAATCAAAAGCTTTAGCTGAGTCAGGTTTCTGGAGAAGTACTGTTTTAGTAGCCTTGAGAATTTCCTCCACAGATCTTCCTGTACCAATGTACTCTGATATGACTTCCCATCTTTGAGATGTTCCTTTTGGGAACTTAGTTGTTCCTTTTCTCAGCATGTCAATCTCTTCCTTGCTCCATGGTTTCTCTTTCTTCTGATGAGTAGCAGTATCTACTTTGGCTTCTACATGACCATTGGCTTCTATATGACCATTCTGCTTAACAGCTACTTGAACTTCTTCTTTTTCTTCTTTAATCTCTATTTCATCATCATCAATGCTGCTCCCATTCTTGATCACCTTTGCCAAAGCCAGTCCTTCCTTGTTTTCCATCTTGTCACACAGTTTCCGCAACTGCTCGGTGTTAAGTGACATACATAGATCTTCCACATGTTCATCAGAGACGCCAAGCAGACGCTGGGACAGAACAGGTGCGGAGAGAGTTCTGAGCCGACTTCGTTCTTTGCGCAGAAGCTTCTTCTCTTTTTCCTTGGCCCTCTTGTGCAGCTGAGCAGCCTCTGCCGCACGTTTTGCTTCTTCTTCTTTTCGCCTTTTCTCTTCTTCAATAGCTGCAGCAGCAGCTTCTTCCTGCTGCTTCTTGGCCATAACTTTTGCTTCTTTCTTCTGCATCTTCTTAGCCTTCTCGTCATCCTTTCTTTTTTGTATTCTTGTGTCTTTTTTATATGCGTTGTCAACAAGAGTCCTAATCCGAGCATATTCCTCCTTTCTAGCCTTCTGAGTTTTCCTTGCATTCTCTCTCTCCATCCATCTCTTTTCCTCACGGGATTCTGCTTGCTCGATATCATGCTCCTCTTCTTCAGGAAACTCTCTCCAGCTTTTAAAAGTGTACCAAGTATTGTAGAACCTATCAACCTCTTTAAGTGGTGTATTTTCATCTCCCAAATCTGGTAAAGGCGAATTCGACCACCTTGCGTTTCTCTTAAAAGCTGGACCAAAAACCTTGAAGAAGTCTTGCGGAGCACAATCAGTTGGGACTTTGTCATCAAACTCATCCGTAGAGTCAAATATTCTTCTTTTTGTAGGGTCCATCAAAACCTCATATGCTTCTTGAATCAACTTGAAGTGAGATTCTATCTCATCCTTCTTGGATTGTTTTGCTTCTTCTGTCTCTTCAGCAAGAAGTAGAGTAGCAAGTTTATCAGGGTGATGCTTCAGTGCAGCTTCGCGATAGCTTTTTCTGATCTGATCCTCTGTTGCAAGATATCTTAAATTTCCCAAACCCAACAACGCATAGTGATCATGTTGTTGCTTCCCCGACTTCTTCTTTCCTTTGATGTTATGCGAGTCATAGGAAGGAATATATTCACTATCCTTTTCCTTTGGGACTTTCTTATCGGTATCTTCATTCTTGCTTGTGGCTTCCTTTGCACAACCACGCAGTTTGAGAGCAGCAGAATGGAAGGCATGACCAGCAGGTTCACGGTTTAAGGCCTTAACAGGATGACAATTGGAAGAAGCATAGAGCACTTGTCCATCCTTGAGCTCACTGGAATACGTAAGAAGCTTAATAGCAGAGTTAATTCCCCAACTCTGCATGATGAAATATGTGTCAGAGCTTCAAATCCACCTTTGATCACCAACGTTTGTTCCTGTAACAAAGAATCAAAGTAATGCCGCAAACTTCTTAGTCAGCAGTATACACAAGTACAGTATTTAAGAAGCAGGTATATACAAAGCTAAATTTCCATATCAATAAAAGCTAAATTTCCATAGACACATAAAAGATTTGACTGGATACAAACACTACAAACAAATTTGTATATGAAGATAGAAACTTTTTTACTTAAGATCCACTTTGAAGGAGATCCAACTTAAACACTTTCACAATCCCAGAATATTTTAAAAACGACTGTCCTTGATTACAACAAGGGTCACAAAGTCTCTAGATGCACAATAGAACCAAGCAATCAAAACAAAGAGAACAATGTCACAAATCCAAAAAATCCACAAGACCTAAACTTTTATAAGAAATCACAAGCAGTAAATACGTAATACATCATCCTCTGAAACTTGTCAACGGAGGTTGAAACAGAAGCGAGTCAACAAACAATCAATAACTCAAGAAATAGCTCATAAACCCTAGTTATAGTTATCCTACTTAAAATCATCAACACAAACAACAAACACAGAAAAAACCCTAGATTTCGTCTTTTAGGTTTAACTCATCAAGCAAAAATACATACAAAGTCAGATTTTTTAAAGCGATCTCAACAAAATCGACCCAACTCAAAAAAGAAAAATAACAACTTTTCTAACCAGAAATTGAGCTCGCCGTTGCCTAGAATAGCCTGCCGTAAGTTTCTCCTTAGAAGTTATCGCAGTCCAAAAGAGACGACGAAAACGAGAAGAGTTCAATAAGTTCAGGAGGAAACGGCGGCGGCAGCACAATGAAGAGGAAGAGAAGGAGAAATATAGACACAAACAAGTTTGCTTTAAAGTGGGAAGTCGACTAAACCTGTTTGACACACTCTTTTCTTTTATACTATTCAACACAACTCAGCCCTTATTTCTTTTTAAGCCCAATTTTAATATGGGCTTAGGCCCATTAAATAATCGGATTAGGCCCATATTGAAACATGTCTCGAGCCAGAGAGAGAGGTGAGGGAGCATCTAAACCAAAAAAAGAAGTTTATAATCGGCGAATTCTCTTCTTCGGCGTTAAAAACGCTGTCATCGCCTGATCAGACTGCACGTCTCTTTATCTTCTTCTTCCTCGTTGTAACCATCGGCGCTTAGCTTGATCGAGATTTAGTTCGCCGGAATAACTCACCGAACAGCAAATCTGATTAGCTGCCAGCTCAATCTCTGGTAAGCCAAAGCTTAGTTTCTCACATCGTTGCTTTTTCCGAGTTTTTCTCTTGCTCGATGCTTTGTTCTTCTTAATGTTGTGATTCGTGAAGTGGTGAAGATCGATGATACATCTTCGTCTTGTGTGTTTGCGCTAAATGATGAGGATATGATTGAAATACGAAATCTAGGTTTTCTATGTGTTCATTTCTCCTTACTGTTACCGTTTTCTGTGTTCGAGTGGTTATGATTGTCCTTGCACAGTGTCGAGAATGGTTAAGATGATTTAGAGTACCATTTCTATTGTCTACATACTTCGTTTGTTGTTTCATCAACACATTTTCCTTGCGCATTCATGACATCAGATAGGATTTAGCTGTGGCGAAATGATACTGTAAATTCTGTGCTTAATATCTTCTAAGAGTTTTGTTTCTCTTTCATTTCTGCTGGAGTTAGCTTATATTGTCTGACTTGGCAAGCTTATAGCAGCATTTTGATAATGTGTGGTCTCACTTAGAGTTGTGTGTAAGTCCGGCCTTTTGTATGACTAGTGTGTGTGAGTATTTACATGAGTGGTTTGGCAACTGAAGTTTGATTTTTGACCTTTTAAACAGAAATCAACCGAGTACTGAGCTGGAGTAAGGTGATAGACAGCTTGAATACATTTTCCATCATGCAGAGTTAGGAACTTATCTCTGCCAGTAGGCTTTTACGTATTTTTCTTATACTATTTGTGTACCTTCTCTCTCTTGCGCTTCTTTGTTGTATGAGATCTACATGATATTTACTGGTAGCTCACTTGTGTTGTCTGTCGTAACTGATACTGCACTCTTGGCATTGTTAATGTTGTTCCATCTCTGTTTGGATCTTAGTGTTTCATTTTTCTTAAGAAGTGTGGTTGTTTTTATCGTGGATATGTATCATTTGTTTTTTTTTTCTCCTGCAACCTGTTTGACTTATTGTGATACTAAATTTTCAATCCAGTTCTACAAATTTTGATTGAAAAACAATGAAGGCTCTCTGGGAAAATATTATTGTAATGATTCATTCCTGTCTTTTGTTGCCACTTAACAGTTCTTAAATCAGAATACTTTGTATTAAAACTGAAATCTTGTCGAAATATTCTTGTTAAAACGGTAGTGGTATCTATGGTTTTCTACCTTTTTGGTCAGATTCTGCTTTGTTACCAATGGAGAGCTTGGCGCAACTTGAGGCAATGTGCGAGAGATTATACAACTCACAGGATTCAGCTGAGCGGGCTCATGCTGAAAATAGTCTGAGATGCTTTTCCGTGAATACGGATTATATATCGCAATGTCAATACATTCTCGACAATTCATCAAAACCTTATTCCTTGATGCTCGCTAGCTCGAGTTTGTTAAAGCAAGTGACTGATCATACCCTTCCGCTGAATCTTCGCCTTGACATCAGTAAACTTCTTATTCCCATTCAACCAAATAACTAGAAATATCTCTTTTTGGCCTTAAATATCTTACTTGTTTCTGGTGTTCTTTCTGTTGTCTTTAGGGGCTTATATTGTGAACTATCTGGCTACAAGAGGACCGAAGATGCAATCATTTGTTATTGCTTCGCTCATTCAACTGCTTTGCCGGCTCACAAAGTTTGGATGGTTAGATGATGATAGATTCAGGGATGTGGTTAAGGAATCTACAAACTTCTTGGAACAGGTGGTGCATCTTCTTGAGGAACATAGTTACTGTGTTTCCATGGTTACTAGTGCGTTGTGGACATTTTTATCTCAGAAACACATGTAGATGATACTTCTGTAGAAGTTTCAGATATTTTTAATTAGGGCTTGCTGAATATGTTGCTTACGTAAATTTTATTTGAATAGGGCTCCTCGGATCACTATGCTATTGGTTTAAGAATTTTGGATCAACTTGTGCAGGAGATGAATCAGGTTAGTGATGTATTGTGGTTGCTTTTCCATGTCATAGACATGTCTTAACATAGGCTGGAATAACTCTCTTTTAAGTTTGAGTTTCTTGGCATGGATTGCTCATTGCTTTAGAGTCATGGTTTCATATATTAGCATTGAGTATCAGGCTGTTATTGATACAAGTGAGAGTTTTGTGCTGTATCTAAATAATTGTTTGTTTTCACCATTCCTTTATTTTTTTATTAAAAACATTTAAGATGGCTATTTTATTAGACTGGACAGAATTATACATGTGCGCAGTGTACATGTTTTTAGATAGATAGCGTGTCACAAAAAAAATATTTTCGAGGGTATTAATTTCTAACTTTTTATTTTTCTAATGTGCTTCAACTGACCAGGTTTTTTCTTTGAAATGATTATTGACATTTCTTCATCCTTTTTATGCTCAATTATTAGCCTAATCCAGGACTGCCATCTACACATCACCGGCGGGTTGCATGCAACTTTAGGGATCAATCCTTATTTCAAATATTCCGAATAGCTTTGACGTCATTAAGCTATCTGAAAAATGATGGTAATATGAGTCATCTATGTCAGCTTTTCCCTTATATTCCTTCATGCCAAGTATGAAAACTTCTATATACCAGCTTCAAAATTTATGCTATTGGAATGTTTTGTAATCGTTAAGTATGTTGCTATCTTTGTTGACGTATATCTGTTGGTCTTGGCATAAGCATGGAAATTTTCAAAAGTAATGAGTCAGAGATTTTCTTTTAACCAGCCTCGGGTCGTTTACAAGAATTGGCGCTTTCTCTTGCACTGAGGTGTGTATCATTTGACTTTGTCGGAACTTCAATTGATGAAAGCACAGAGGAGTTTGGTACAGTTCAGGTAGAACATTAATGACCTTCTATCTTCAACCATTGTTTCAATGCTTAGTACCTACGTATTTGTGTACTCGTTTTTCAAGGGTGTTATAACTTCTAGTATTACTGATAATTTTTAGATTCCAACTTCCTGGAGGTCAGTATTGGAGGATTCTTCCACGCTGCAGATATTTTTCGATTATTATGGTAGTACAGAGTCCCCTCTTTCGAAAGAGGTATGTCTTTATTGTTTTTTGTTTTTTTCAGTTCTTGAATAGAAGAAGCAAAATGACATCTTTTGCATCAAAGATAGAATTTGACTACTTTTTTGTTAATTTTTATTCACTCTCCTGGTGTGGACAGATGTTTTAATTGCAGTAATGTCATTGAGGACATGATTTATTTCATGTACAGTTGGGACTCAATAGGTAGTTATAGATGACTTAGATTTTGTTATTTATTAATGTTTCTCTGTCTTAACTTCTAGGCACTTGAATGCTTGGTGCGATTGGCTTCTGTAAGGCGCTCTCTGTTCACAAATGATGCTACACGCTCTAATTTTCTAGCTCATTTGATGACGGGAACCAAAGAAATTCTTCAAACTGGAAAAGGTATGCTTGATGTTTTATATACTGTGGGACTTTCTTATGTCTGACTGTAAATATTGCGCTTAAGGTGTTGCATTGTATGCAACTTTGTCATTTACAAACTTTACACCTCATTGAACTATAACATCTCACTGATCCTGGTACGTCAACACAAATTGCTTTTGTTGGATCAGGTCTTGCTGATCATGATAATTACCACGTGTTCTGCCGTCTACTTGGGCGTTTTAGGTTGAATTATCAGGTAAATTTTGCGGTTAGATTCCTGTCTAGTTTACACATTACAATTTTGCATGTGTTGTAGCTTGACGTTTATGTTATGATGCCATGTACTTGAGTGAATACACACATGCTCCTTTTTTCTGTATGTGACAGTTGGTCAGTCTTAACTATTCGTAAATAGTGACGCTATCCATGATTGTCAAATACCATTTGGATATAATTTATTGGTTTATATGGCTGATAAATCAGACATTAAGTAATAGCATGTTACATGTATGAATTCATCTGCAGCTTTCAGAGCTTGTGAAGATGGAAGGTTATGGTGAGTGGATACAGTTGGTGGCAGAGTTCACACTTAAATCTCTCCAGTCATGGCAGGTTCGCAATTTTATGTTAGTGGTTATAGACACTACTAATCTTTAAAGTTCTGCTCATCCTCCAACATGATCGTTTTTAGTATAGCTAAAATATTTGGCGGAGATGGTATCTTGTTTGCAAAATCCAGATGACCTTTTTTCTTACAGTGGGCCAGCAGCAGCGTCTATTACCTTCTTGGGATGTGGTCCAGATTAGTAGCATCTGTCCCATACCTGAAGGGTGATTCACCAAGTCTACTTGATGAATTTGTACCTAAAATTACAGAGGGTTTTATCATCTCCAGATTCAATTCTGTGCAGGTATATAACACCACTTATTCTGGAGGAATGCCAGTACTAATTTGTAGTTTTTCTTTGATATGTTCCCATTTGAAATCCCCTGTCCAGGCTAGCGTCCCCGATGACTCGACTGATCATCCTTTGGATAAAGTTGAAGTCCTGCAGGATGAGCTGGATTGCTTTCCTTACCTATGCAGATTTCAGGTTAGTCTTTTCTTCATATGTGTGTCATGCAGTACCCTGGTTTTGCTCACATGTTTCATTTGATTATGTTGTATCTTTATACAATTGAACTGCATCTGAGATTCTTATCATGCAGTATGAAAGAACCGGTATGTATATGATAAACACAATGGAGCCTCTTCTGCAATCATATACGGTAAAGCTAACTGTTATTATGTGTTTAGCTTATTGTTGTTCTGTCAGTTCTTGTACGTGTTTTCTTAAACTTGAGCTGAGTGATTGTGCAACAGGAAAGGGGGCAGCTACAGTTTGCTGATAATTCTGAACTAGCACTTATTGAAGCAAAATTGTCATGGATTGTTCACATTGTTGCCGCTATTGTTAAAATAAAGCAGTGCAGTGGTTGTAGGTAAGTTGCTATCATATCTTGGGGTTTCTTTGCATTGAGGTTTGTTTCAAGAACAAAACAATATATGAACATTGGATTGAAAATTAAACGTATTTTGCAGTGTGGAGACGCAAGAGGTGCTTGATGCTGAACTCTCCGCTCGTGTTTTGCGGCTAGTAAATGTTATGGACAGTGGACTGCATAGACAGGTGTTACATCTGTTAGATGCAAGCAATTTAATTAAACCAACATAAAGTATTATTAGATAATCTCTTGATTTATGCTTCTATTTCTGCATTTCTTGTGAACATAAACCATCATTACAGCTGCGAGATTTAGCTAAAAGGGTGTAAGCCTGTATATCCACAATTATTAACAGAGTGATTTCATTAACGGTTATGAAATTAATTTTATGCGTGAACTGCATAGGATATTCTGATGACGTTTCAAGAATCCTATGCCCTACCTGTTGGGTTTTATTTTTCTCCCAGATGAGTTCACTACTTTATTCTCATCTGTAAAGTAATCAAATAACACATTCTTTTTGCAGCGATATGGTGAAATAAGTAGACAAAGGCTTGATCGTGCCATTCTTACCTTCTTCCAGAATTTTCGAAAGTCTTACGTTGGTGATCAGGCAATGCATTCATCAAAAGTAAATGCAAACTCGTTTCTTTTTTTCTTGTGTATTTTTATTTGTTCTATGTATATTACTGATACTACCATTCTGTTGCAGCAGTTGTATGCCAGATTGAAAGAACTCCTTGGACTGCATGATCATCTTGTTCTGTTGAACGTTATTGTTGGCAAGATTGCTACAAACTTAAAATGTTATACAGAGGTAATCTTGAGTTCTTTACTTTTTCTAGCATGCTGCTCTACATCAATGTCACCTATTGTCCAAACAATCTATCTTTTGTTTCTTCAGAGTGAAGAAGTCATTGGTCACACGCTAAGTTTGTTTCTGGAGTTGGCATCTGGGTAACTCTGTTATAACCTGATTAAGTTGATATTATATTAGTTTATATACATTTTCATATCGATTTTTTATGTTTTGCTGTTCTCATGCAGATACATGACGGGGAAGCTGCTTTTGAAGTTGGACACCGTGACCTTTATTATATCTAATCACACTGTAATTCTTCTCCAAGGACTCGCTTTTGTGGACATCATTGTGCATTATCACTAGCAATAATCTTACTATGTGAATTGTCTAATTCCAGAGGGAGCAATTTCCATTCTTAGAAGAGTATAGATGCTCTCGCAGCAGAACAACGTTTTACTACACTATTGGCTGGTTGATTTTCATGGAGGATAGCTTAATAAAGTTCAAGACTTCTATGGAACCCCTTCTGCAGGTTATACTTATTTTCTTTCAGCATCTTATCTTTGCAGCTTTCAATTTAAGAATAATGATTCTGTCTGAATCTGCACTGCATACTGTTCACTGTTCTCTGATTATGATGATGGGCTTGCATGTTTTGTAAGGAAGAAGAGATGAAACAATTTTTGTGTTTCTTCTTATGCATTAACGCGAGTGAAACTTAAGGAAGACATGTCCTAATGTTCATGGTGAAATTTGCATTGATATTGCCGAATCGTTACCCTATTTACTAGTTCTAGTTTGATATCCTATAAACAGGGATTGTTCCATATCCATTTTACAATATCTTATAGGCAGATTCACATAGTGGTCTTATATTTTCTGTTGTATGCATTGTTTTATATCCTAATTATAATGGTGTATTGCGATCTATAATTTTCATAAATTTTAAGCCAGTAAACCACTTTGTTATTCAATCATTCTAGGTTTTCCGCACCCTGGAATCAGCACCAGATTCAATGTTTCGCACTGATGCTGTGAAGTTTGCTCTGATCGGATTGATGAGGGATTTAAGAGGAATTGCAATGGCTACTAGCAGGTTTTGACTTCATCTAGTTACTTTGACATCCATAGACATGTTACAATCTTATGATCTATTGAAGCATTCTCTTTTGATTTCAGCCGGAGAAGCTATGGTTTTCTATTTGACTGGCTCTATCCTGCACACATGCCACTCCTTTTGAGAGGGATCTCACATTGGTTCGACACACCAGAGGTATTTAGTTATGCATTCTGCTCCATTGGATTGACAGAACAGTGACCTAGTAATAACCTGAGTCCGCGCATAGAAAAAAAGATTCTAATCCACTGTTTGTGATTTTACGCTTTCTGCCATTTTTGTGTGGTTAGTGGTGCCTTCATTGTCTCATCTCCTCTTCTTGGCTTGTTGATGTAGGTTACGACCCCGTTGTTGAAGTTCATGGCTGAGTTTGTGCATAACAAAACGCAGCGCCTTACTTTTGATTCTTCTTCCCCAAATGGCATCCTGCTTTTCCGGGAAGTCAGTAAATTGATTGTGGCTTATGGTTCAAGGATTTTATCCCTGCCAAATGTTGCGGATATATATGCCTTCAAATACAAGGGGATCTGGGTTTCACTGACAATTCTGTCAAGAGGTTAGAACATGATTTTGACCAATGAGAGCTAACCATTCATTGTTTAGTTTATTATTATGTTATGATACTAACCATCATCTAATGGGCAGCGCTCTCGGGAAATTATTGCAACTTTGGTGTCTTTGAACTTTATGGCGACCGGGCTCTTGCGGATGCACTTGATATTGCGTTGAAGATGACCCTTGCAATACCCTTGGCAGATATATTAGCATATCGCAAGGTATGTGCGGCATTGCGTTTTCTAGTTGTCCACGTGCCTCCAATAATTTCATTTGGTGATAAAATCAACCCGTTATTGAATTTTTCAATAAACGCATGTACAATTTTTTGCTTCTCTTTTTGATATTGTTTGCATTATCTCAATCAACTGATGCGTATTCTGAATTCTTTCTTTGTCGATAAGAAATCTCAAATCTTTATTGTCTTCCTTTCATCCTTCAGCTTACAAAGGCATACTTTGGATTCGTCGAGGTTTTGTGTGCCAGTCATATTACCTTCATATTGAAACTGGATACTGCCACCTTTATGCATCTCGTAGGTTCCCTTGAATCTGGCCTCAAGGGGTTAGACACAAGTATTTCATCACAGGTGAGAATTGTGTCAAAAATGTTAAGACCCATTTATTTATCAAGAGTTTTATAAAGTTTTAACCTGCAAAATATAAACCTCAAAATGTAACTTTCTGAAGCATTAATATTTATTATCCTTTCAGTGTGCAATAGCTGTCGACAATCTTGCTTCATATTATTTCAATAACATCACAATGGGTGAGGCACCTAGTTCTCCCGCTGCTATTCGTTTTGCACAGCACATTGCAGACTGCCCGAGTTTGTTCCCCGAGGTAACTCCTTACACTCCTCAATCTCTCTTTGTTTGATGGAACACAATTATGACGAGCTATAATGCCTTCTGACAAATTTGCTCTTACAAGCAGATATTGAAGACACTGTTTGAAATAGTTTTATTCGAGGATTGTGGCAATCAGTGGAGTCTCAGCAGACCAATGTTAAGCCTGATTCTTATAAGTGAGCAGGTATGTGTAGTATATACATTTATCGCTCTTGTGCAGTTATCTGTTCCGAATGAGCTTTGTTGTTCATTCATATCTAACTTATTCCAATTGCTTTCACCAGATTTTCTCTGATCTGAAAGCTAAGATCCTCTCATCACAGGTATGATCCAAAATTCTATATCTTTAACCATTTTACCCCTAAGTGTTGCTTTTTGTGTATGCCTTTGAGCATTATATTAATGGTGCAGCCCGTGGATCAACACCAGCGACTCTCTGCCTGCTTTGATAGTCTTATGACAGACATATCGCGGGGATTAGATTCAAAGAACAGAGACAAGTTCACTCAGAACTTGACCCTTTTCAGACACGAGTTCCGCGTTAAATAGAATTGGCCAAACACAGTCCCTGAGCCAGTCTACTACATTAGGGGTCTCATCAAAAAGACCCACATGACACAGTGAACCAAAAGTTCCCACTTCAAAAATCTTCAGAAGTTAAAAAATGGAAAAACAAAAAAGTAGTCTTAAGATTGTGGTACTGTACAGTTTCTTTGTTCTCTCAGTAGAAAGGGTAATATGATGAAAAATCACGTAGCTTATGATATTTGGTGGTTCCTCGCAATTGTGGCTTATTCATCATTGGGATTTATTTTGTCTCATTCCAAAAATGTTGTCAGCTCCATAACAAAGTTGATGTAAAACATTGAAATCTAGGGTTTACTTTGGCAATTGTTGGGAGCAATTAGGTCACATATTCTTTGTATTTGTTTTGTGATGGATGGTAAACAAAACTGAAAGAAAATGCAGTATTTGTTTTGTTTTAACCACGTTTATTGTCTGGATTTTCGTATAATTTTCAAGTATTATTTAGTATTTTTTTCGTATAATTTTCAAGTATAATTTAGTAACTCAAAATCCAGATTTTAGTATATTTTTTTTCAATTGTATCTAAAAAAACACACACAACTTTCAGATTGAAGAATGAATATCTTTTAACAAAAAAAAAAAAAAAAACTTTCAGATTGAAGAAAATCTTAATTGAAGTAGTTTTGTTTCATACCTTTAGACGAAAAGAACAAGTACAATAATATATAATTTATCAGGGCATCATCAATGGGGGATCATGTGAGGGTGTTCTTATAGAGAATATAATGTTAAAATAATGTAAGATCATGTGTTTAGATCTTTTGTTTAGAAGTTGATTAGTGGGAGAACATGTGTAAGATCTTAAGACTTAATAATATAATAATCTAAATTAAATTAAGATTTTACAATTATTAAAACATTTAAAAATAACATATAAATTGCAAATGCCAAATTTATGAAAAACTGAAAATAAAAGTGAAAATACAATACTAAATATTTATGAAAAAAACATTAAAAATATAAATAACAATAAACAAACAAACATATTACTTAATAAAAGCACAAAAATATTTTATCTAATTAATACATAGTTTATTATCCAAATTTATTCCAAATATGTTGAATATTCCAACCAATGCCCAAATGCCACGTCACCCCGCAACACCCACAAGAACAGATCCAGGTCAAGAGCCCAGTTCCTGATCTTAAGCCCATTAACCCATTTTTTTGGATTTAAATAATGCTTAGATCAGGGGGGTGATCCCCCAATGCAGATGGTCTCAGAAGAGGAGGAGGAGAGGAGCTATATGTCTACTATTTTTAGTTTTTTAGCCAATCAGAGTGCTCCACTTCATACCCCACTTTTACCAATCACGTGATTTTACACCCAATCTCACCCATCTCGCGTTGAGCGCGTGTCTACGATTTCTAAAGGGGTTTATCCACAGAAATCATGCCTTTTTGGGTCCACGCACCTCATTCTCAAAAACCCATCGCGTGTCTTATTTTTTTTGGTTTTCTCCTCTAAACCAATATTAACCGAACTCCAATCAATTCAAATTTCCAAACCAATGTAAACCCATAAAACCCAGAGGTACTACTTGGAAGAGAAATCAAATCGAAAATAGCAACGAGAATGTTGAAAACCCCCTCTAATCCGATCCAAAACAAGTATTATAAAGAAGCAAGCATTTGGGTGTTATGATTAGAGAATAAGCAAGTAATGCAAGAACCGATCATAGTACTACTACTCAACTTAATAATGGCCAAAATTCACTCTATCAGAAAGCAAAATTCAAAGAACAAAGTGGCTTTGAGAGCAGTCATATCAAGCGAAAAAACTATGGCGATGATGGCCTTCAAAAATGAGAAACCCTTTACACTGCCATCCACCAGGAATATATAGATGATATTCATTTGTGCTTTAAAGCGTTTGTAAGAGATTACTGCAACAGAAAATAAAAAGCAAGGCAAAGAAGAAGAAACAGAACTACTTTTCTTTACCATCATTCTGTATCCATTTCTTCCTAACGTTACACAGATCAAAAGCAAAGTCTTACAGAAAGATTTGGCGAATGTAGTACAAGTACTAAACGGAATTGTGAGAATGGTAGATAATGGTGAGAGAATCACAGACGTCGTGCCCTTCTACCACCCTTTCTACGGGTACTATCTGTTGGAATTGGAGTCACATCCTCTGCAAAGCAGCAGAAAAGTTATTAAAATTGCTCATGAAAACAGAAATTATCTGGCAGGTATTTAGAATTTACAACAATAGATAGAGTTTACCTATGCGACCAATCTTCATGCCTGAACGAGCAAGAGCTCGGAGAGCTGACTGAGCACCAGGACCTGGAGTCTTGGTCTTGTTTCCTCCAGTGGCACGGAGCTTCACATGAATGGCTGTGATGCCAAGCTCCTGATATAGGTAAATTGCAATTAAACCAGAAGCTCGAAAAGCCGAAAGAACATCTCAAAAGCATAAATATTAAACCTTGCATCTTTGAGCAACATCTTGAGCTGCAAGCATAGCAGCATAAGGAGATGACTCATCACGATCAGCCTTTACTTTCATGCCACCTGCAATTTCACAACATCAAGGATTCAAACCACGAGATTACAACTTCAACCTATACTGAATCATGACAAAGGGCCTGGCAAAATATTAAACGTTTAGACAAAGCAGAGAAATGAGACTTACCAGTGATACGAACGAGAGTTTCTCTTCCAGAGAGATCAGTGACATGCTGCAAATTTAAAAAGGATCAAGCTAAATGTAATGCACACAAGATTATTATATGGAACTCTCAAAAGAAATGATGAGAAACTTACAATGAAAGTGTCATTAAAGGAAGCAAAGACATGAACAACTCCAAAAACTTGCTCTCCCTCACGAACAGATGGTCCAAGAGTGACATTTTCCTCCTTTGGTTCTCTGGTCTTTCTCCTAGACGACTACAAACAGAGAGACTAATACTAGTTACTTACTATCAGAATCTAGCTACAATCCGAAATTGAAATCTAACAAAGTTCAATAAAAGAAATGGAGAGAAAGAAGTTATCATGATATACAAATGGATGAGAAAAGAAGAAGAGGATACGTTTGAGTTTTCAAAATGTTCTTCTTCTTCAATGAGAGCTGACACAGAGGAAACCAAGGAAGAGATTGCCGGCAAATTAGGGTTTGGATGTGGACGTTATAGTCATATTGACGTAAAGAGAAAGACCCCTGGCACTTTCAAAAACAATAGTAAAATAATTGACAGCTGTGGGATTTGAACCCACGCCCTTTCGGACCAGAGCCTAAATCTGGCGCCTTAGACCACTCGGCCAAACTGTCTTGTTGTACCTCCACTTGGAGTTTTAATATATTACTTGTTTTTAAAGCATGACAACAAGCATATGACTAAAGAATTTGATTGATTGGCTATCTTCACCAGAGATCGTCTCATGAATTTTTAAGTTGGTGAAGAAGAATCTTACATAACTGATAATTTCCCATGTTTACTATAGCCAAAAGTTATAAATTCTAATGTTACTTTATTATGTAAAACATTTATATGACGAGGTTTGGCTCTCCTCAGTTCATTCATAGTCTTGGCTTAGCTTTTGCAAGGACCAATGTACATAGATAAAAACACCCTAAATTTCAAAGGAAAGGTCATTGTTTTCTAATCGAAAGGGTCAAAGCGGGGGTCATGCTCACTAGCCGTAACCATCCCGGTGCAAAGACATGTCGGACACATCACCTGTATCATATACAAATACACTTTTCAACATTACAAGGAATAGAATGAAGCATAAACATGCAGATCAGATGGAATGCAGACATCTTACCTTTCCTGCGCCGGAACAGTTTAGACACCTTTTTGTTGTCGCGACCTGCATAAGCTGGTTTGAAGCTCTAGGTCTTGTTATGGGATCAATGCTTAAGCACACACCACTAGCTGAACATCGAGCACATGGCAAATATCCTATTATCAAGTAAACACAAACCGGTTTCAAGAGTCGTTGACTGCTTTGAAGAAAAGATCAAGAATCATGATATATTGTATAAAATTACCTGTCCCAAGGCAGTACTTGCACCTCTTCTTCTCTTGCTGTTTAACGTTGTTAACTTCGATTAGCATCAAGGTTGAAATGACTCCCACGGCCCCGCCAGAAAAAGATGCCACAATTGGATCTACCTGGCTACATTACAGAACAAGAAAATAATTCTTTCCATGTCACTGTTTCAGATTCAGGACAAGTAAAGTTGAATAGTTTGACCATATTTTCAATCATATTAGTCATCAAGCTACTGAAATAGTAGTACCTTAATTGCAAGGGAAGATGCAAGCTCCGTATAAAATCTTCATAAGAGGTTCCTCCAAGTCCTACCTTCAGTTCCAGCTGCCATGTAAAATCATCAATTTGTCATTCAAGGATTAAAAAATAAAAAGAAAAGCTATTATTCTTCTGGTAAAGTTACAGTGGCAAAACTCAATAGAAAACCAGAAAACTGTACATCACAAAGAAGGAAAATTTACTAATCTCTACAAATTTATATTGCTATCAACAAAAAGCATGTATTTTAGATTGGTGTACCCATGGTTGCATCACTAATAACTGCATGGATCCTGTAAAATAGCCGGGAAACTACATGCATCTATTTTAAAGAGGTCAATATCGTGCATCTATTGTAAGATTAGTACTTTAGTAGTGTTCTAAGAGCTGCGGTAAACTGAAATGGCTGTGTGAAAAAATCATTAACTCAAACAAGATTTCACAAACAAAATCTAGAGCTTTGATATTTGTTATAGAAGAACATAAGGAAAGAAACGTGGAGTCTACTCTTGTACTTACATTAGGTGCAATGAGACCACCAAAGAAGATTATTCCCGATATCAATGCAACGCTGGTCGAATAGAGTTGTTTCAAAGTCTTTGGTGTCTATATCAAAAGATAAGAAGCAGAGACAAAAAAAAAAAAAAAGTTAAACGGTAGGGAATATCAAAAAACTGAACAAGAGAACATTTCATAATTGTAACTGACCACATTAGTGAGAAAAGGAATGGAAGATGTGATCTCAGGCATCTCGGTCGCCTCGAGCTCACTGTCCTCATTGATGGCTTTAACACTCTTAATACGTTGCTGAACTCGTAACCTCCTGACTTCCTCCATGAGAAGAAAGATCTTATTGCGTTTACTCCTTATGCTATCTTGGATTTCCTGAAGCTGCATCTGCACAAAATCTTGAACTGTCTCTGATCCCTCAATGATACAGAAGTTACTGAAACATCCACCACGAAATAATAATCGTTATACGATACAGATCACACAAATAACTACAAGGCTTCCCTCTTTCTGATATCATTTCTAAATTCCAGTATCATCACTAATCGAGCTGAAATTCGAAAACAATAGATATCGATTTGGCCAAACCCAGGTGAGATTCGCAGATGAAACATAGAATTCATAAGTAAAAGAAGAATCAGAGGAACTTGCTTTGGGACGGTGTCACCGGAGGGAGGAGGACCGTTGTTGCTACCGTCTGAACAAGAGAGGAGAGAGCGAGATGAGCCATGGAAGAGAAGACTGGGGCTAGGTTTGAGATAAGATGAGGGAAATCGAAGCAGGGATTTGGAAGTAGATGGAGGAAGAAGAAGATGATGGCGATGAGGAGTAGCAGAAGAGAAGCACGTCATCTTCTCTCGCCAAACGCTTATTGCTGTCAATCGTCTTCGGATAATTTTAAAGCTAAGAAGAACCCTCCGAATGATTACGAAGGTTACCATTTTGGGCTAAAAGTAAAACCAAAACAAAATCTAACCAAACCAGCAACATATCTTAAAAATGACACAGTTGTGATCTGCAACGTGGAATACATACAAGATTCAATATACTATCAAGTAAGTGAACTGGGAAAGTTGTAATCTAAAATTAAAAAGTTATATGAACGTTTAGGAGAGTAATAATGATGCACATGTATCTTCTTTACAAGTGGAAACAAGCGAAGTTAACTAAAACTTTAAGTTGACAAAAACACCAGAATTTTAAAAAAAACAACAACAAACTGCCTCTAGACACAAACCCTCTCATGAAGGAACACAAAGATATAAGTTTGGTTTTAGACAGTAGAAGAAGCTTCAAGTTTGGGAAGAAGGGATCTCCAAGCATCCGCTACACTGTTTGCTAAGCGAGCTTGTCCTTTCGCAAACTGATGGAATGCGACACCCATCTCTTCTGTCTTCTGCTCTTGAAACCTTACTATCTCCTCCTCCATTCTCTTCACTATCCTCTCAAATCTTCTCGTAGCTTCTTCACTTTCTGCTTTTATCTGCATTGTTTCGGTAAACACCACAAGTTCAAGCACCAAAAAGCATTACTACAAAATTTCAAGGAGTGCTGTTACCTCTCTGTATTCGATCTCAGCTTCTCCTACTTTGTCTGAACGTGTGAGCATGAGTTTGTCACTACAATAACAGAGGAGAATTTATATAATGTTCTAAGACGATTATTGACAGAGAGGAAGATAAGACAGAATCCATCATACAGATTTATTTCTTTTAACTTTGTTGTTTCTGCCAATTCACAATGTTGCTTGAAAGCAGTGCCTCGTTCTGCTATTGTTGCCTGGATAAACAAAATACAGAAACAAAAAGGTAAGAGTTTGTTACCAGCAAAACGCAACCAGGAAAGAAATATCAATCCCACAGGCAAAGGCAAGAGAACTCGCCTTAATCGACTGCACATAACGAACATAGTCCTTCAAGGGTTCCTCGAAGTTCATCAGGACTTGTTGAGCCTACAAATAGTGCAACAATAAAAGCATCTAAGAAAATAGGATAGATGTACATGTGGCCAAGATATATAGATTATCTGACAATAATGGCAAAAGAAGAAAAAAAGATGCTTTATGCCTAGTCAAGGCTTACAAACTTAATACCTCTTTTTGGAGCTTAATCGATAACAGTTCAGATTTAGTTCCAAGATCGGAAAATGCTTTTCCTGTAGGTTCACCCTCACAAGCCCCAAGAAGTTTTACAGCCTTGCCAAAATCCAACAGTGATTGACCCAACTCTGCCATAAAGTTGATATAGCATTAACACTGAAGAGATATTCATGCGGTTGGGAAAGAAAAACCGAAAACATAACAGAATTTATATAGATTAAATTCTGACTTGTGATATATTACCTCTATGCCTCTTGACAAGGCGATATGCATGCTTCTGAGCCTCAGCCAAGTGGTTCTCAAGCTCAAAAATGTAATGCTTAAGCTTTTCGTAGTCAGCAGTAGTTTCTTCAACAGGTTTTTCCTTTCCAAGGACAGCATCACTAACTTTTGACTGGACATCCTGTCAATAGTGCAGATATGGCAGTAAGATGATGCCGCACCAAAAGTTAATAAAGAGCATGGAGCGAAGAGTGAAGAAAATCAATAATAAATTTCAAATTTAAAAAGTATTTTCTCTTTGCTTTTTACGGATTCCCAACCATGGTAGAGCGAAGTAACCAATATAATCGGAGCTTTCAACTTTTATAGTTACAACAATGTGAAGAATCATATAGGCAAGACATGCCAAGTTTCACTTTGTAAGATAATTTAACTATCAGAGGCTAATGGTATATTATGTCCAGCATAAACTAAATTCCATTTTAAACTTCCTAGTAGCATGCCAACATGTATCCACTACTGGGTCTTGTAAGATGTTGAAAATAATATATACATGGTCAGAAAAACCATGCTTACCCTAAACATTTGCATAAGATCTGCAGGCTTCTTGAATATACCAGTTTCCTGAAACCTGAATCTGTCCATTGTCTGACGAGAAAAGTAAACTGTCAAACAAAGACAAGAACCTTCTAAAATGCAAACTGCAGGCCCTCAGGGAAGCAAAAAATGCATTTTATGAGCATTCTTAAGTGAAAATGATGTGGAGGAAAGTAAAATAACCAAAAAGTCGCCAGAAATGTAATGTCCAGACATCCTACCTCTTCATCTGCTTGCAAAAAGGTCCTAAGATCTTCACTATGCTGGAGCTCAGGGTGTAATGCTATTCGATTAACAAATATATCCAATGCTGCTCGCCTCATTTCAATAAATTCGGCACTAAAGCGAAATTTTTCTGCCAAAAGAGTATTAATAAACACGAATCCAATATACTCAACTCCATCAGCTTACAATTATAAGGAAGGCACTCCCAAGTATACAATAGCTTTATCAAAGCGCTACATTACCCTTGTGCACTTTCCAAAGTCTCAACACCTAATCAGAGACCTCTAACTAACAGCTAATCTAACTAAATCAAACAAGGATAACCGGATTGACTGACATAAACTATAGAGATGCACGATTCGTATCTTTGACTCAATCAGATAATGTGTTCAACTAGACAGAGAGCAATGGAAAAGATACTGACTTATAAAATTGACTACAAAATATTTAAATCAATAAGCTAGAAAGGGAAAAGCTAGCTAATATACCTACAGCACTCTTCTCTGGAAGAGGAGGAATGAAAATGCCCTTGTATTTCTCAAAAAGCCGATCCCGTAACCAGACGAAATCACTGTATCGTCTAATAACAATCTTCTCAGGTCCTTGATAATCCGGCAAGTTGGTCTGCCGTAAAAAACAATCCAATCCGTCAGAAATTAATCCATAGAGAAACAAATTCACCGTAAAACCATAATTAAACCCAAATTCTATCTTCTCAACATACAATTAGCAACAACAAAATCAGCGAATCATCATCTGTTATCACCCAATTTTTCAAATAGAAACCCTAGTCTGTAAAATCAGCTACGAATCAGGTTCCAAGAAGGATCTACCTTGGTGATAACTCTGTACGAGATATAAGCTTGTACGCCATTCCCTAATTTGACAGGATCTGTGACGGAGACTGACAAATACGGCTGTGAAGACGGAGATCTAGGGCTCTGCATCGATCCCGAGATGTTCCTCGGCTGCTCCGTCGTGCTCTCCATGAAACAACGACAACCCCGTGAGATCAAAAAAAAAAGAAAACCGATTTAGTCAAAAATTCACCTCTAGTGGCAGATTTGTAATATTCACGAGTTTTGTGTTCAACTTTCGGTGCATAAGTAAAGAAAGCTCTTTCAAAAGAGAGAGAGAGAGGTGATCAGATTTTTTTTTAGCTTTAAACCCAAATTTTACTACTCCACTAAATAAGATTTTGTCATATTTAACAACCAAATTTGATGAATTTAGATAAATAAGCTCTTTTTAGATATGAACATTAAGATTCTTAACAAAAATTGAGATCTGATCAAAAGATGGACCATATTTATAAGACACTTAAGATTGGGACAAAAGAATTTTTTTTAGCTTCTCTTTCACAACTTAATATTTTGAAATTTAAGTATCAATATATACTATTTTGTAAATTATTCTTTTAATAAACCATTTTTAGTGGATAATCTCGTAAAAATTTGCTATATTGGAGTGATTTTAGTGAAAACTTTCCAGTCATATATATCTCTATTTTAAATTAATAAAACAAAAATAAATGGGATTTACGATAACAAATTTTCTTCATTATTGTTTGCTTTTCATTTACTCAGCATGATGCACCAAACATCATCTATCTGTTAAAGATACAGTAGAAAACTAAAATCCATGTAATCAGAGATTAAGAAAAACACTGATAAGAATTCATTAATACGTTTGAACTCAAAACAAAAGAGTATTTTAACAAGTCAAATCTAGAATTTTGAATCAGAGAGAGATCTGATGAAGCAACAATCTTTTCCCCCATCTAAGAACTAACAGGCTTCTTCCAGTCAGCAGCAGCACTCAAGAGGGACTTGGCTGGTGAAACCAAAGCAACACCTCCATTCTCAGCCTTTGAGTACTTCTTGTACACTGCACGTAGCCTGCTCTCACCGCATCTCGAGTGGAGAAAAGCTAAAAGCTTTGAGCAATCCCTATAACACAGCACAAAACCCCACATCAGTTTCTATACAATCAAGAGTCCAAAAAACAACACAGATGATGATACTTGAAAGTCTTTTTTTCTCTACTTACATAATCTCAGATTCTGTGTAGCTGGTGTGGAACTGCAATGTATCAGTCCAAGCAGGGGACTTGTTCAATGAGCATCTTGCAGTGTAAACAGCTGAAGCAGCAAGCATGGAGGGACAGAACATCAAGGTATCGTAATGCATCATCCCCAATTCAGCAAGGAAGTGAACCATATTCTCCATCTACACGATACAACAACAAAACAAAAGTCAGTCTCTTTCCAATCTATATTGTTTCAACAAAAATCTGAACTTTAAGCAACAATGGACTCACTTCAGGGTCAGACATAGAAGCTTTGATGAAGCGGACAAGGAAGACGTATTGAGTCGGGACTGTCAAATACCATTCGAGGTTTCCAAGAATAGTCTTCTCCATCACTAAAATCTGTCTGCTGTTGTAAGCATTGTCCGTGACATACACCAAATCGTTAACCTGCACATCATATGAACACCATCATCAGCTCACAGTTACAATCAAAACACAATCAAATTTCTGAAAAACAGTAAGTACCTGAGGTGGCCAGATTTCTTCATATTTGGAAGCAATAAGCAAGGCACTGATTCCCACTAGCTGTAACTCTCTTTTGGGAACAGTTTTCACAGAGAGGAATCGATCAATGATGTTAACAGTGAGGTAGAGAGTTTCAAGGTTAAGCTCAAACTTGATGTGAACTTCTAGTAACCAATCAATCAAGATCGCTCTCATCTTCTCATTCATTTCAGTCTGAATGTGCATGTACATCTTAGGCTGACTCTCCTTCTCAACTTCTTTATAGAACGAGTACATATCATCAACATACTCCACTGCAGCCAGATGGTTATCTTTGTCAGATTCATCAATATCAAGAATCTTTGGTTTGTTGACTATACCACAAGCAGCTTTGCTCCGAGCACTAAGAACAGACGAGTACGTCACTTTCTTGTCCTTAGGTGACATTGCTACTTCCTTTTTAGTCACCTCCTTCTTCGTCTCGATCACTTCAACAGGTTTGGTCTGTTGCTTAACCACTAGGTTTCTCTTCTGAACCGCCTTTTGAGCTTCTGGGTTTCTTGCAGCAAGAGGTTGTCTCTTTGGAACAAGAGCTGGAACCTTGTTGTCTCCATTGATTGGCTTTCTTTCGAGTTGGGCATTCGCTAGTAACTGGGCACGGAAACTTCGAGTAATGGGTCGATTAATCGGAGGTTGAGGCTTTCCTCCTTGAACTCCGGGAACAGAAACAAGATTTCCGATGTCACCGAGCGCACGCCGATTCTTCACAGCACCGTTTTTGTTCTGGATCTTCAAACCATCAACGAGAGGAGCACCTATTTCACAGAATTCAAAAGAAACCCAATCAAGATCTCATCTTTATTTCATATCACACAAAATCCCATCGACACGATTCACAATTCAATTCTAAAGATTGACAAGATCGATCCCAGAGAAAGATAACCATTACGAGATACTTCATATTCAAATCGGATCTGTATCGTTAACGAGTAATCATAAGAATACCCAAATCGGACCGAGTTAGGGCAAACGAGTTATACTCAAATAAAACGAATCAAACCAAACCCAGATTTTAAATCGACGAAATACAAAAGATTTCACACGCAGATCGTTTCAGATCAAACACCCAGTTAAAATCAAATCGATATAAGGAATTCAGAACGGAAATATCAACGATGACCCAGATAATCAAATCGATACAAAGAATTAAGAACGACGATATCAACGATAAACCCATTAAAAGACCGAAGAACAAACCTCTGACTTGTTCAGGTACGTTTGCTCTCGTCGCCATGATCGTGTTCTACTACTGATTCTTACTCTTCTTGTTTCTTAGTCTTGATTTTCTCTTTCGTGAAGAGTCTCTGAAATTATGACGAAGAATGGAAGAGAGCGCTTCTTATGAAGAGGAGGAGCCAACGGTTCAATTCCAACGGTCATATTTTTGGGGCTTTCATTTATAGCCGTTGGATGATTAGAATTTAGATCTAACGGTAAATAGTTTAGTCTTCGAAGTTAGAATGCGCTGGCACCGGATAATTTACTACTAGTCAGCGAATGAGTCCGTTGGACTGTAAATAAAAAAGGTAAAGCCCATCCAAACTTTTATTTCTTAATTAATAATTTGGAATATGATCAAAGAAAGGTATATTTCATTATTCTTTCCAAAATGAGATTGTATGTTCAGGTTTTTTTAATACAAATAAAAAATTTAAAGTCTTCGTATATGGAGATAAATCTGACCAAAATCAAATATATGTGTATTTTTAACGACAACAAAATCTAATGTAGATAACTGTAATAATAAAATCCAAAGTAAAATTTTGTTATAGCTTACTTCAAAAAATTTGACAGTCTTTTGAGGTTGTATCTGTTTATATTTATATTTTGATATTTTTCAAATTTTAAACATTATATATAAAAAAAAGTAACCAATCAAGGAAATTAAAACATTCCAATTTTGTAAATATCAAAGAGCAAAAAAAAAAAAAATTCAAATTTGGTGAGTCATCATCTAAATCACAAATAATAATGAAAAGCTTTAGTGAATGATTTTTACATATCTAATTTTATATTATCTCATATTCTATTTTCTTGTTATCGAAGTAAGATGCTCAACTATTATTCCTTATTAGCATTGTCCATACAAAAACAAATTTTATATCCTCGGTTGTGATAGTCAATTCAAAAAACATACACCATAGTCAAGCTTACCTAAAACTAAAAACTGTCTAAAGGTGACGAAACCTCACAAAAAGATGGCGAATGGTTCGATTTTACAAAAGTAGAAAGGTAGACATGATTTAAGTGACGGAGGGAAGATTTCATCAATCAGATGTGATCAATCAGATGAGACCTTGGCGTTGAAGATCAGAGTAAGTCTTCTTGTTGTAAATGTTACCTTCACGATCTTCATATTCTTCTTCAAGTTCTGGCCTCCATTTGTTCACTCCTTGCCTCTCCTGTATCCTCTTCCACAACTCCTTCGCTTCCTGAAACAAACCAAACAACCACAGATCAATTTACCGAACTATTTATTGCTTTAAGCTGTCTTTGATCATATCATATACCTCAATTGAAGTGATTTCGTTGAAGTTCTTTGTGTTTGGGATTCCGAGACAACGCATTCCGTGTTGGTGTCGCCATTCTTTAAAATGTCTCTCAAACGCCCTTCTTCCCCAATAGCTATAGTTCCCACATATCTCGCATTTAAACTCCTGCAAAAGAACAAGAAATTTAATGTGAATCTGTGTACCTTTAACAACAATGGTCTTGTTAGTAAACTCCATACCTGGCCAAGGCCATGAAGTTTGTAGAGCCAGTATGGTATAGGCTTCCCATCCCAACCTATTGGCAGCTTCAGCGGATTGTAAATCTCACCGTCCTCGTCATCACTTTCTGATTCGGCATTAGCTTCCTCCCCTTCACGTTCTCCCTCCATTTCTTCATATGTCAACGACTGTTTCTTTACAACGTTTTGTTTTGTCCTTTCAATGGTCTATAAAAAGGCGACAACAAGAAAAGTTACAAAAAAAAGTACAACTAGATATCTGGTGAGAGGAAAAAAATGTAAATATGAAGTTTCAATCAACTAACCTCATCAAGTAAATTGCAGAGTTTCTTCACTTTCGCCTCTATTAGTGCAATCTCTTTAGCATTTTCAGACTCATGTGTTGATTTGGCATCTCCGTTTTGTTTCCCGTTGTGTGGAGCTTTGGCAAAATGTTTCTTATCCAGCTTTTCCAAAGGCGTATGCTGTACAAAGATAATTAATTAAGGGAATTAGATAACCTCAAGGTAATAAGATAAGCTTCAAATAGAATTCAATCCATACAAGACATGACCTATGCCAACAAAAACCTTAGTTTCATATTAGAAGAAGAGCTGAACTGAACTACTAAACTAGCTTTCATAACAGCCAAGTGTTTCTTCCAAACCCAGCAAAAATTGATAGAAGTACCCTCTCTCATAATATAAACTAAAAAACGTGTAAATAAGAGATTATAGCAGCAAGTGTAAGAACCTTTGTCAGGAAAAGTCTCTCGGCACGCTGCTGCGGAGTACCACCAACCTTCAGTCCTAATGCCCCCAATGCCTGAATGGCATAAAAAGAACATATGATTAGGGAAATAATGCTTAAAAAAGGATATGAACATGAAGAATGGTCATTACCTCCTTAAGCTTTTCAGGTCCTACATCTACCAGTTCCTCGACTGTACTGTAGTAATCAAGATCTATGACCGTATGCTGAGATGAAACAAGTTCATTGTCCTGGCCATTCTCCCAGCCTTCTACTTTTCCATCTGCATATTGCTCTTCAAAATCAGACCAAACCTGCAAAAAGAACCAAACATATTAATTGCAAGAGATCAAACTATATGCACAGCATTGCCCAAACTAGAACTACCAGAATGTCAAACTATAAAATGGTTCAAAACCTTCCGAAGATATACTATCTCTAACTATCTACCAATGAATTTCCAATACAACCATCAACTAGTTAGTTATGGCCATTTATTTTACAATACATGTATCATCTCCAGGGTGATGGAAAACTGACAGAGCAACCAGTTGTTAGAACTAAGAAAATCCAAAGTTCTACACATAATAACTTGGGAAACTAGTAGAAAATTCTAAAGCACGCATTACATACCAGTTATGTACTAAAGCATAGTTCAAAGCGCCCATAAGATTCAATAAGGCAACAAGTTGAACACAATAAAACGATAAAGAAAGGGAGGAGCTTAAACCTTAGAAAGTATCCGGTCAAGATCTTGCAACGGCTCGGTTCGCTGGAAAAAGTAGACCAAGTACTCTAGCAGAGCTTCCATATACTTCCTGTATTGCCTAAAATGACAAATACCAATTCAAAACGAAAGCAATTCAGCTGCAGCTAGAAACAAATTTGGAGGCTTTGTAAGTAAATGAAAATTCAATGAAGTGTTTACCTCGATAACTTCAGTTTACGCGGGATTTTCTCTGGTTGAGAAAAAACATCAAGGTAAGCAGAATATTCAACCCTTTCCCCAAATTTAGAGTTGATGTACTGGTTATACATATCATGCAAGTCCAAGTACCGACCATTGCCTTCCTACGCAACAGACACAAAGATTAAACCATTGGAGAAAACCAATATACTACCATAAAGCCAGCAATGTAAAAACAAGGGGCTTACAAATCTGTTAAAATGTGTCAAACCAATAGCAACAATAAAAAGTCAAGCAGAAACTTACCTCTCCACTAAACGCAATAACTGGTTCCTCCTTCAGGAGTGCTTCGTAGTCTTCATTAGCATCAACAAGACGTCCAGAAGGATGCCTTTTATGATATTCACGTATCTGTAGGTTTATAAAAGAGGTTAACTAATTGCAAATCTGATACTTTCATCAGTGGTTTATAAAAGACCAAGGAAGATGCAAAAGAGTAGCAAACAAACCTCTTTCAAACGATCATAAAATGCACTATACACATTTGTCCCTGTCGCAGTCTGGCCACCAAGCGCTGCAATCTCATCATCCCTCGCCCCATCCTTATCTTCATAGGTTTCGACCTTACAACCAACAAAAAACAAGGTTAGCATTAATCCAAGGCATCTACTGATGAGAATTATCAAGAAAACTCAAACTTGTGAAATAATACTGAAACATGCTTAGCTCAAAACTTAGAATCCCTACATACACACTTAAGACCCCAACAATAACCTATATTCAACACCAACCACTGAAGTTTCTTCTCAATTTACCACACAAGCCAGCACAAGCTAACCTAAAAAGCTAAAGCAATTAACAGAGAAGAGGCAAACTCAACACGAACCTGTAATTTTTTTAAAAAATCACCAATCCAAGTTTCTCTGCAATTGATCTTACGCATTCAGAAGAGAAAAAGGCATAAAAACAAATGCGGGAATAGAGGAGAAGAAGAAAGAAAACGTACAAGTTTCTCAGTGGTGAGCATGATAGACTCAATCATGTGACGAACACGATGACCCTGGACCAATCTGTCCTTGCTGGACGGTGGCTCTTTCTGTAGATCTTGCACAACCAATCGCTCCAATCTCTCAACCTCTTCATGATTGGAGCGAGTTTGCTCGAGGAGAGTCGACGACATCTTTTCTCTCTTCGACGCTTTGAGATCTTCTTCTTCGCCGGAGTCTAAACCCTAATTCCAATCTCTTTTGTTTTCCTCTCAATCCGAAATCTCCCCGGCAAAATTTTTAACGCTAATCCAAGAGAAAAAGAAAATCGGGTTGTTTTGTTGTGTTTTGGGCCTTTTCTTGACGATTTGTGTTTTGGGCCTTTTTAATATTTTGATATTACGATTTATCTTTTTTTCTCTGATTGCAATCCTCTTTTTTAGTGAAAAAAAATCTCAAAAACATTATAGGTTTCATTGGTATATTACTTCGTTTGCAAACAAACCGCACTAATCATGGAACAGTCGGACGAAACGATTTAAAGATGTGACTCAGAAAGATGGTTGCAAGGAAAAAACATCAAGTCATAAAAGTCACAATAGCTAAACAAAAAGAAAGACACAAATTGAATTCATGATAGTGTATCTCACTTGGTATAACTTATAAGAGCTTAACAGTAGATAACCAATACAGAAAATTAAAAAGTAGAATGTGATCATATACAAAAGATTAGACTAGTCCACTTATTGCCAATTTTGAGTTTAAAATCAATGGTTCTTCGCACTTGACAATGAAAATTTGGTGAGCTCGAGGTTTGTTGAGATGACATCTTTAATAGATTTGAAACCTTGTCTGGACGATCAATATAGGATGATCATAATGGACCAACGACGGGAATTTGGCCGTTAACTTTGAAACCTCGTCGGGACTGATCTTGTGATTTAAGAGATTTATAACAACTTATATTGCCTAATTAACCAAACTTCTAGTCGTCAGATTTATAACAACTTATATTGCTTATTTTTTAAGCCGATTATATATTATCACTTTCCCTTTTTCTTCATCACCTTCGTTAGATATATATCATCAAATGATAATTGTCCACTACTTGTCCAAGTTTAAGAATTCTATCGCATGCTGCGTCTTTAAAAGACAGCCTTTCACTCCAACCTTGTCTGAAGGCTAATTGCAAATGAGCTCGAATCCGGAATAAACCATACTGGTTAAACTTTTAATAAACTGGAATTGTTAGTAAACGGGCAAATTGTAGCTTCAGGAAATCAGGTTGAAGTAAATCAATTTGGAATCTTAATCATATTAGTTTATCTTCTTTACCAAACAGATAATAAGTACAGAGGAACAAATAAATGTTCATGTTAAACAAAGCAAACCAATCAAGAAAACAAAAGCGAATAAGGTAATTCAATGGTGGAATCAGAATATCAATAAGCAAAAATAGGTACATGGTTTTGATTCACGTTTGAGTTATTTGTTCCTCATATTCCACCAATCCAACAAAAACAAAGCAATAAAAACTCGAAAAAATCTTTTGAAAAGTGGCGATGTCAGAAATGTTAAATATGCCTCAAACAGTTTTAAGCTCATAATGAGGAAATTACCCCTCATTCGCACATCTAATTGGTTCATCATTCTCGCCGTTTCATTACAAATCCAATAAAAACAATTCACCGATGAAAAATATGTATCCGACCCGATTATAAAGCACGAAATACTAAATGTACGAATTAGAATCTGAAAATCCCCAAAAGCTAAGATCTCTAGCAGATAAAAAGAGATAAACAATTATATCTGAAGAGTCGGCAAGAGAGGACCTTAATTCCAGATTCTAATGCCGAAAAAAACCTCGAGCTATACTAAATCAGGAAGGGAAAAACTGGGTTAGTACTTAGGAGAACCCTAATTAAAAACCCTAAATAAAATTCGATTTGGCGCAGCTATGACTCGACACGCTTCCATTAAGCATTTGTGGAAGGCGATCTTAAGGGCTGCGCAAGAAATTACAAAAAAAAAAAAGACAATTACGAAGAACACTATTGAGAACATAAACCCTAATTTTTTAGAATCTGGGATTTGGCTTGAAGATGCAATATATATAGTGAAGACTTGTTTTACCCTAGTCGAAGAAGCTTATTCTCGTTTATTGACTATTGGGCTTTAGGCCCATGTTATGTTAGGCCCAGTGCTTAGACGACATAATCAATTTAAATACTTACGCCCCAAATTGGGTTTTGAGATATTCTTTTGTTTCTTGTGGAGGAAGGAAAAATAATATGTAACAGTAATGCGGTTTGATGCAAACTGAAATTTTAAAAATGGAAAATGAAGAAAACAAATTTGACGAGAAATGAAAAAAAAACAAATTTGACGAGAAATGAAAAAAACAACATATTACAGAAACAAGAAATGGAGAATTCTGTCACGATCTCAAAATAAATGATATAAGGATGAGAAATGAACTGATTTCGGTTATATTAACGTTAGTCTTGTCATTATTACAACCATCCTATAAGGATATATGCGTTCTAGCCTTAGTATAAATGATTCATTTGTCTAAACTATTGAAACACAGAATACAAACATTTTTAGAAATATAAATCTCATTCCTCTTCTTCACCTTGTCTCTAAGAGACAAGCCCCGTTTCTTTCATCTCCTCCATCACCAACACCAAACACAATCTCGCTTAAGATAAGGTGAAGAAGATGAGTGAGCTCCAAGCAAAACAAGATGCGGCGGCTGTGGATAGACAGTCTTCTTCCTCGTCGGCGGTTCTTGATGGGCCATCACCGCTGAGAAAGATGATATCGGTGGCTTCTATAGCTGCCGGTATTCAGTTTGGTTGGGCTCTTCAGCTTTCTCTGCTAACTCCATACGTGCAGCTTCTCGGAGTCCCACATAAATGGTCATCTTTCATATGGCTTTGTGGTCCTATCTCCGGTCTTCTTGTCCAGCCATCCGTTGGTTACTTCAGCGACAGATGCAAGTCAAGATTCGGTCGTCGTCGTCCTTTCATCGCCACGGGCGCCTTGCTTGTCGCCCTTGCTGTTATATTAATCGGATTCGCGGCTGATTTCGGCCACACCATGGGAGACAAACTCGACGAAGCTGTCAAGATTCGAGCCGTTGGTTTCTTCGTTATCGGTTTCTGGATCCTTGACGTGGCTAACAACACTCTTCAAGGACCTTGTCGCGCTTTTCTTGGTGATTTAGCAGCTGGAGACGCTAAGAAAACGCGAACAGCAAACGCGATTTTCTCTTTCTTCATGGCCGTTGGAAACGTTTTGGGATACGCTGCAGGATCGTACACTAACATCCACAAGATCTTCCCTTTTACAGTGACTAAAGCATGCGACATCTATTGCGCAAATCTCAAGAGCTGTTTCATCATTTCCATCACTCTCCTCCTAGTCGTCACCATCATAGCTCTTTGGTACGTGGAAGACAAGCAATGGTCGCCAAAGGCAAACTCTGAGAACGATAAAACTCCGTTCTTCGGCGAGATCTTTGGAGCTTTCAAGGTGATGAAACGTCCAATGTGGATGCTATTAATTGTCACGGCCTTGAACTGGATCGCGTGGTTCCCTTTTCTTTTATACGATACAGATTGGGTGGGTCGTGAAGTGTACGGTGGAGACTCAAAAGGAGATGACAAAATGAAGAAACTATACAACCAAGGAATTCAAGTTGGTTCATTGGGATTGATGCTTAACTCTATCGTTCTTGGATTCATGTCGCTCGGTATTGAAGGGATTAGTAGGAAAATGGGAGGAGCTAAAAGACTTTGGGGAGCTGTGAATATAATTCTCGCCGTGTGTTTGGCAATGACAGTTTTGGTTACTAAAAAGGCCGAGGAGCACCGGAAGATCGCCGGTCCGATGGCCCTTCCTACGGATGGCATCAGAGCTGGAGCATTGACCCTCTTTGCTCTTCTTGGAATTCCTCTTGCTGTAAGTCCAACATGTCTTTTACCAAATTTTTTTACTATTATTATTGATTTATTATTTTGTTTAACAAAATTAATCCATTTTTTGCTAATTTTTATAGATTACATTTAGTATTCCGTTTGCACTAGCTTCCATTATTTCAAGCAGCTCCGGCGCCGGCCAAGGTATTTTAAACTCTCTTTTTGTTTTTAATTTAAACCTAAGATTCTTTTAGTAAATGTTAATTAAAACGTGCGAATACAAAAAATGTTAATTGAGAGATCAATTTCCAATTATCTCCATAGTTTAAGTGAATTTCCCTTTGTGGCAAGCAAATAAACGATCGAGTAAATATTTTCAAATTATACTTTTGCTATTTGGATTATAAGTTATCCAAAACATTTAATATAAGGTGATGTATGTTATATAGTAATTTAATTATATTGATTATTCATTAGTTTTTGTTCATCATGTGGAATTTGCCATAAATGTATTGATAAGAAATAATAATCGTTTTGTGTAACATAAATGTTAAAGTATCAAATTAATAAGGATGTTTTCTTTTGAATGTCATCTCTGCAGGACTCTCTCTAGGAGTTTTAAATATGGCAATAGTGATACCACAAATGGTTGTATCGTTTGCAGTTGGTCCTATCGATGCCTTATTTGGAGGTGGAAACTTACCAGGATTTGTGGTCGGAGCTATTGCAGCGGCAATTAGCAGTGTTGTGGCATTTACCGTATTACCTTAATTTCCCTTGTGTTTTATTTGTTATGTATGTTTAATATTAATGTAGTAAGTGGCATATTTGTTTGCAGTATTTACTTAAAGTTCTAATTAAAAAAAATTCTTCTTGTTTTTGTTTAACTTCTATATCTATGTCATCATCAATCGGCATAAATTGAAGTATTAAAAACTCCTAGATAAATAACCAAACAAAAAAAGGAAATGATATTGTGTGTATAAACTGTAAATCAAACTTTTTTTTCTTTATATGAATTGAACTCATGCATGATACATTTTCAAGAAACAATGAAATATACAAAAAAAACTATCATTACACTAAAAAATATAAAATCGAAACAATCAAATGAAAAAAAAGTAAACTCAGTCTAATCGGAGACGACGAAGGTAGGCTGGGAGGCATGAGTAGAAACAAGGGCGGGTGTGAGAGCAGGAGCGAGAATAGGGAGAGACGTTTCAAAGACGCAGAAGGCAGGCGAGTTTCAAAAAGCCACGAGCGAGTCGATTAGAAAGTTAAAAAAAAAACACAAATATTAGATTTTTTATTTATTTATTTTTAACGTATAAAATCTATCATAAACACATAAATAAGTTTAATGAAAAAAACACAACTAATATTCTTTAAATCCTTAATTTACTAAAATTGTCATTGAATAAAGAGTACACTTATAAAAATAACAATAGTTTTGTTTACTATTAAATGCTAGTGTTTTCCATATAATTCTAGTGTTATTTAATTTTGTATTTTATAGATTTTATTAAATTCTAGTGTTATTCAACTTATTGATTAACTAATTTATTAAATGCTAGTGTTTTTCAATATTATGATGACTTTGATGGTAATGTCATTTAAAAAGAATTTAATAGCAAGTTCACTCAAAATTGTTAAGAAATAATTTCGAGATTTTATGCAAAGATTTGGCTAGGATTAATTAAATTTTTTAAAAATACTTTAAAATCTAGTATTTTTTTGCTCCATTGAATTCTTTAAAATTTCTTAATTGAATACTATAATTACAATTAGGAAGTCGTAAGTTTCGATTGGTACGAAATATACCCAAAACTTATAAATTCGAAATGAGCATCATCATCGAGCGAAAGTGAAGCAATTTCTATGTGAATATAGTGATACTAAGCACAAAATCCACCGTTAACAATTACGAATTCGAAACAGTTTTTCTACAAATCTACTAATGCTAAGTACAAAATCGAGCATAATCATCGAGATTTTAAGCAATTTCTCATTCTCTATGAGCTAATTGATCGATCTTGCGAAGAAAGATGGAGCTATTATTTCTCCGATGAATTTTGTGAAAAACTTTTTCGCTAACATTTTGAATTTTTTTTAGAGAGGATATTCTAGAGAGATTAAAACAGAATTAGAGAGGAGGAATAAGAAGTTTTTTTTTTACATATTGATTTTTTTTCCAACGATTGAAATAGTGCAATGACATATTAATTTTTTGGGAGATTTACTCAGATGTTATACATTTTATATGAAATTACCAGAAACATACAGATCTTTTTTTTATTACTATCATATTTCGGGTATATTTTTTATACCCAGCGTGCCCCTGTTAAACGTTACAGGAAAAAACGTAATTACAAAGAATGCCACTGCCACGTCAGCAAAGCCGCGTCGCCACGTCAGAAATCGCTGACGTGTATTAATGAACTCAGCCGTCGAGCGATATAGCGGCAGTGACGGCTGAGTTACGGTATGTTGCGGCTGATTTAAGAAAAATGGCTGAGTTATGAGCAAACGGCTAACTTACGAGTATAACCCAGCCTGGAGTTACGGCTGACTTACTGAAATCTGTCTGAGTTATGATAAAATGGCTGACTTTCGAGCATAACCCAGCCTAAGTTACGGCTGAGTTTTCACCCGATGGTTGATTTGTCAAATTTTTGGCTGAGTTATTGCTTCGACACGGCTGACTTAACTTTCTCCGGCTGGCTGAGTTATCAAAGACGGCTTAGTTATGAGATGACGTTACGGCTGATTTATGTTCGAGTATCATAAATCAGCCGTAATGAGCTGGATTAACGGAAAACTCGGCCTTATTATGGCTGACTTAGTAGCGAAAGATTAATTACTAGAATAGCATGCAATGACGGCCGACTTATTAAACGACACGACTGAGTTAAATATTTTTGGTTGAGTTACGACAGTAAACGGCTGAATTTGGCTGCCGTTTTTTTCGTTTTTTAATTACTGTAATAGTATTCATGTTGCGGCTGAGTTAAAGTTTTGTTTGATGGCTGGTTTAATTAAGCTGATTTACATTTTCGTTTGGTGGCTTACTTGCCACTTCATCAATTAAAAAATGACGTGGAAGCAACATTCCATGTCATCATTCCATGTCATCATCATCAAAGGACAAAAAAATAGGGCCAAATTTTTTCAACTCGTCTTCTTCACCTGAGTTTATCACATCACCGGAACTTCCAATTCCTCATCGTCTTCCTCATTCTTCTTCAATTTCTTTCATCCTTCTCCCGATATGGTTGATCCGGTTCCGGTAATTGGGTATAAAAACACAAATACGTATTTAACACCGATGAAAGAGGGTGTAGAGTTGTGCAGATAGATGCGAAAACAACGCACGAAAAACTTGTGAAGTTGGTGCTCGATGATAAAGTTAGAGGAAATGTTGCGTCTCTTATTGTTTCGCTGCAAATTTACATGTCACGGCTGAGTTATATGCTTAAGGGAAGACGAAAGGTTCGGTCAATTTACATGTCACGGCTGAGTTATATGTTCCAGGGAAGACGAAAGGTTCGGTAAAATTACATTACGGCTGAGTTATATGCTTAAGGAAAGACGAAAAGTTCGGTCAATTTACATGTCACAGCTGAGTTATATGTTCCAGGGAAGACGAAAGGTTCGGTAAAATTACATTACGGCTGAGTTATATGTTTAAGGGAAGACGAAAGGTTCGGTAAATTTACATGTCACGGCTGAGTTATATTCTCCAGGGAAGACGATAGATGGGTGTAAATTATATGTTACGGGTGAGTTATATGCTTCAGGGAAGACTAAAGGTTCGGTAAATTACATGTCACGGCTGAGTTATCATTCAGGGAAGACGAAAGGTTGTGTAAATTATATGTTACGGCTGAGTTACATCACGTTACGGCTGAGTTACATCACTTTACGGCTGATTTATAATACAGATCGGAAAGCAACATTTTTTTGGAGAAGACAATATGAAATTTATTGGTCAAATAACAACAATCAAATTAAGATTCGTAAAAATATGTTTGAGGGATACATAGGAGGAAGACTAAACCGTATGAATCAAAACATAGATAGAAGTAGAAATGTCTCCAAATAGATCGATTGAGAGGAAGATTAAACGAGAGACATGTAAAATCAAAGTAAAAGAGTAGCTATTCTTTATTTCAACTCAAACCTGTAACGAATCATGTAGAATTCCATAGATCTCTTTGTTTTGGGTTTTGATTTTTGATGACTTTTTTCGTGAGCGTGGTTGCGAGTAGATCTGACGAAGCTTTTGATTTGGGACCCTATGGCAAGCGTTGTGGCTGTGAGGTCTAGGAAGATCCAGCCCAATCCTGCAATTTGAAGATCTCTGTCAATGTTGTACCCAAGTTAGTTGCAGATTATTAGATCTAAAAGCTTTTCTTGGATTTGGAGAAAAAAAAAAGAGAAGAGGAGAAATGATCTAAAAGCTTTTCTTGGATTTGGAGACAAAAAAGAGAAGAGGAGAAATAACGTGAGTTTGAGGAGTGTGAGATTGGTGATGTGGATTAATGACATGGATAATCAAATTTTTATTTATTATTTTTAATTAAAAACGAATTAAAAATTATTAATTAAAAAAAACTAATGAAAGGTGTTAATTGTAATTACACAAATGCTCAAAACATATGAGTAATTTTTAGAAAATGTATGATATTCTAGTAATATTCGAACTTTTGGTTAACATCTGAGTAAATATTTCTAATTTTTTTTCAATAAGTTGAAGCTACAAGGCATTGAGGTTTAGGGATTGAGCTTTTGAAGTTTTTGTATCTTATGTCATTAAGTAGTCAATCATATTTGATTATCTTACTCAAGATTTTTAAGGAAGACAAGGTTTTTAATTTTGTTTTACAAACTTTATGAATACAAAGAATAAATGTAAAATTGTGGTTAATAACTGAAAATATAAAGAATTCATGTTCCTAGAATTTGACAGCAACAGAAAATACTCAATTTTGAATATAATTAGAAAATCAACAAACTAATAACACATTGAATGAAAATTATCACACTAATAACACAAGAATTTAATTTATTAGAAATATAGAAATCCACAACAGTAACTAGAATCTTAAATTTTAAAAATCTTTAGAATTCAACTTACAGTAGTACTAATAATCTCCTCAAAAAATTAGAACGCATGAAATAGCTGAAGAAGGTTTAACTCCTTCCAATTTCCGGTTCCAATTGGTTTTCGGTTAGTTCCGATTTCAATTACGGTTTGGTCTAGCTGGTTGGATTTTCTCTCGAATCTCTGAATTCTCTCGTCAGTCGTCACTCTCGTCAACCTTCTCTTCCTTTAAACTCTAATGCGACGAACAAAGCCACCGGAACTGGCCGTCACTAGTTTATCGGAGAATCTCCAAGGAGGTGTTTTCCGCACGGTGAAACGAGCTATTGTGATCGGAAACGGCTGCGCCGGCGCGGAGAATCAATGCATCGGTCTCCTTCGATCCTTAGGCCTCTTCGATCGCCACCTCTATTATGTAATCTCCGTCCGAAACACTATTCCTCTTTTGGTTTCTTCATTTTTTTATGTTTCTGAGTTTGTTATTCCTGTTCAGAGAGTAGCTAGACCAAAAGGTGGAATCCTTCAATGGCTTCCTATCTCTCTCTACAAACGAATTCATCGTTTTATCAGCACTATCTGTGCCAGATTCTCCATTAACGCTACTGGTACAACCTTCAACTTTTATTCACAGTTTGAAAAAAATGAGATATTTGGCAGTAATTTGTTTCCCTGAAAATGGCTATAGGAATCACCAATGTGTTTGAGGTAGATGATGCGAAGCAGATTGCTGCTATGGCTCGTAGTACGTTTGAAAAGTAATGCTCGAATTTTCAGCTGCTTGATTTTGTTCTTCAGAAAACAAGTTTATTGATGTGATCTTCAATCAGCTCAGTGGTTGTCTACTTGAGTGTGTTTGGTTGAACATTTATGATCACATTTTTGTCACTCGATGGATCATTGAGATCTATTTATTTAGAGTTTGAGTTACTTTGTTTCTTCTTTCGTCTGCCTTATCTCACAGGAATGGCCCGTTGTTAGTGGTGGCATCTGGTAGTGATACCATTTCTGTCGCAAGCTCCATAAGACGACTAGCTAGGGAAAATGTTTTTGTTGTTCAGGTTAAGTCTATTCCTTTAAAAGACTAAATTTTCTATGGCCTTTTTGGTTTGTATGATGGTTTTAGCATATTTTTCCATTTGACTGATATCAGCAATTGCCAAATCGCGGCCTCATAGTCTTTGTTTTCTCCTTGTTTTAACTTGATTTTTTTTTGTGTTGTTGAATTACCATATTTTGTTTCTTGTTCGCTATTTTTCCAGGTGCAACATCCAAGGTCGCGTCTCGAGAGATTTGATCTAGTGATCACACCTCGTCATGATTATTTTTCTTTAACACCTGAAGGGAAGAGGCAAATTCCTTTCTTTCTCCGACCATGGGTAACTCCACGTGAACCTCCAGGTAGAAATGTGGTATGTGTCTTTTGCAATGTTCATTATAAGGGATTTGATAGCAAGGCTTGTCATGTTGTTGCTAGTAACAAGCTTGAATTCTAAAATCCAGTTTCTCACTACTGGAGCTCTTCATTACGCCGACGCTTCTACTCTGAGAAATGCTACTTTGGAATGGATGAACGAGTTTGCTTCGCTGCCAAAGCCTTTGGTTGTAGTTAATATTGGAGGACCTACAAGTAAACACATTGTGCCTCTTCGTATTTTCTATAGTCTGTTGAGCTGTATTTATAACTGCGATTACACTTCTTTGTTAATATACTGTAGGGAACTGTTTGTATGGTGTTGATCTTGCTAAACAGTTGTGTGGTATGCTTCAGAGTATCCTCTGGAGCTGTGGAAGCCTAAGAATATCTTTCTCAAGAAGAACACCGAAGAAGGTAAGTAAAAGTCTCTTTAGAATGTCACGATCATGCGGAGCGGATGGTCATCATATTTTCTCGATCTCGATCTTTCTACAGGTTGTAGAAATCATAACTGGAGAATTGAGCTCTAACTCTAAGGTCTACATTTGGGATGGAAAAGGTGACACTTTTTGTTATTCCCAACTTGTCTATTGCAAAGTTTGATGGTTTCTCTTGATCCATTTCTCAGACCCTAATCCGCATTTGGGACATCTAGCTTTAGCCGATACTTTTATCATAACTGCTGACTCTATAAGTATGCTGAGCGAGGCATGTAAAACCGGGTATGTTTAGCTTCAACGTCAATTTTTTCCTTTTCGCACTCTTAAGATGATATCAAAATCTCATTCTCCACACAGGAAACCTGTTTATGTTGTGGGTGCTGAACGGTGTACATGGAAATTTTCCGACTTCCAGAAGACTCTCCATGAAAGAGGAGCTGTTCGACCTTTGACCGGCAAAGAAGATGTAATTCTAATAACTCTATTCAAGTCTTTTGTTTTTTCTACATGATAGCTATAATCTGCGACATCCTTCTCTATTTTTTTTTGGTGAATCCTGACATTAGCTTGTACATGGATTTTATTTGTCAAGATCTGTGAGAAGTGGAGTTACTCGCCTCTTAACGATAATGCAGAAGCTGCGAGGCGTGTGATTCAAGATTTGGCCAAGCGTGGCTGGAAAATTGAGACATGACTGTGCTTTCCCTCCACAAGTTTTCCAGAGTAACTGTCTTTTCTCTTATTTTCATATCATCGGTTGAATAAAGAGCAGGGCTAGGAGTTCTTAACAATTGAATACTCCGTGGAAGCTTAGTGCTCTAGTCGAACTCAAGGTCATATACTTAGCTCATCGTTTGAACTATTAGCGATTGGATTTTTTTAGTTCTTTGGTTTTTCCCTTTTGGTTATATTGATCTACTGATTAGTTGGAATAAAGTTTTTCAACTTTTTTTGGTAAGATAATAATAATAAAAACGGTGGATGCACCACCAACTGATAAGAGTCTTGACTTGGGATATATGATCTGCTGATCCAATTATTATTATTATTTTAATTACTTGTTGACTTGTTTTGTTGCCAACTCCACAAAACAACAACTACTCTTTCTCTACTCCATTGTTACTATTAACAAAGTCCACCACCAGAACCTAAACCCTATAAAAACCCAACTCCTAATTCCATTATACTCACAACAGAAAAGCATCCAGTACCATTCCCCCCAAACAATTTCTTCAAGAAGATTGGTCAACACACTGAGAAAGTTAAAAGAGAAAAGATGAAGAGTGACTCAGTCGCTGTTGATGTCCCTGCAGAGTCTAGCTCAGCCATCAAAGGCAAAGCTCCACTCCTTGGTTTAGCCAGAGACCACACTGGCTCTGTAGGTTACAAGAGAGGCCTTTCCATTTTCGATTTCCTTCTCCGTTTAGCTGCCATTGTAGCTGCCTTAGCTGCAGCTGCCACAATGGGGACTAGTGACGAGACTCTCCCTTTCTTCACTCAATTTCTACAGTTCGAAGCTAGCTACGACGATCTTCCAACTTTCCAGTATGACTCATAATGTTTTTTTCTTCTTCTTTCATCTTGTGTTCCATGGGGACTAAGTTATCTAACTTTCAATTCTTTCTCTTTCAGGTTCTTTGTGGTTGCCATTGCAATAGTCGCAGGTTACCTTGTCCTGTCTCTTCCCTTCTCAGTCATCACGATTGTTCGTCCTCTAGCCGTTGCTCCGAGACTCCTCTTGCTTGTTCTTGACACTGTACTCATCTTCCTCAATACTTCAAACTCTTGATGCTATAAGTTTAATACGGAAATTAACAACTCTCTGTTTTCTTATTGATGTGTACAGGCGGCTCTGGCTCTGGACACTGCGGCTGCTTCTGCGGCAGCGGCTATAGTGTATTTGGCACACAATGGGAATACGAACACAAACTGGCTTCCAATCTGCCAACAGTTTGGAGATTTCTGTCAGAAAACGAGCGGAGCTGTCGTCTCTGCCTTTGCCTCTGTCACGTTTTTAGCCATCCTTGTCGTTATCTCCGGAGTCTCTCTCAAACGACCCTAAGTCAACGAATACAGACTCTTTGAGAGCAAGAAGAAGCATTGCCAACGGTTTAATTAGTATTTGTGTGAAATGTTTATATGGAAGAAGCTTATATTTTGTATTTGTGTGCTCTTGGTGACTCTATTTTGTGTTTTGTATTGATCTTTGGAAAGACGAAAAATTAATGGAAGTTAATTGTCACTTTTTCTTGTTTTTAGATATATAAAATCAAAAATCTGTTTATAGATTAGTTTTGCCAGCTCTGGATTAAATCCACACTAATTAAATAAATATGATAATTAAATTAACAATCCTTTCCTTCTCCAAATGGAACGGACCGGGCCAGGCCCATATTGGCCGAATCACAATATGCTTAATCGCTAGTCTCTCCAGCAAGTCCTCTCGGGACACATTAATTTTAATGGCGGCGCTCGCAAGGATCGGTGGCCGGCACCTGAAATCCGTCGGCGTAATAAACTCCTCCGCCTCATGTTTCTTCAGTCAACGCCGTGGCGTTGCTTCCAAGCTCTTTGTTGGTGGTAACTCTCTATTTCTTTTCCTGATTGACTCTGATTAATACAATCCATTTCTAGGTTCTAGAAACTGGATGTTTTAGCGGATCATCGTTGGCAACGGATGCAAACTAATTGAATGTGATTCATAAAATTGCAAATTGTTATCTCTCTTTTGTGATGATGTTGTAACTCTTAAAAGTTAATTTTCTTCTGCGACCTATACTGTTCACTGTTCAAAGCCATGTTACTTGTTCCTGTGAACTTTGGTGTTTTTGTGCTCACATTTTGGTTAACTGGTTTGTAGCAAATTGAATATTGAACCTGATGTTCTCTACATTTTGAACTGGCTCTTTCTTGGTGGTGATTGTGTAAATTACAATCTCCATTAATGCTTAATTCCCATTTATACAATTCTGTTTCCAGGATTATCGTTTTGCACTACAGAGCAAGGATTATCTGAGGCATTTTCCAAATGTGGCCAAGTTGTTGAAGGTATCAGATGAATATCGATCCCACGTTTGATCTGCTTATTGTATCTGAGAGTTTTTGAGATATTTTTATGGTTCTTATCAGCTCAAATAGTTATGGACAGAGTCTCTGACAGATCAAAAGGTTTCGGCTTCGTGACATTTGCTTCTGTTGATGAAGCTCAGAAAGCTTTGATGGAGTTCAACGGACAGGTATAATAATAATGTGTATGTCTTAATGTTTTCACTTGTTACAATTGTTTCGGTTGGTAACAAAAAAACAGTATCTTCCAGCAATTTAACGGCCGTGTGATATTTGTGGACTACGCAAAGGCGAAGCAGAGTTTTGGTGGTGGTCGCTATCCAATAGCTAGAGGACCGCCTGATCCAGTGGTAATAGCTGCCACGACAACCGAAACATCGAAAAACGACTAACAAAATCGAAGATAGGAAATTGCTGGACACTGCTGTTGCTATTTTTACTTGTGATGATATGTGTAAGAGACATGAGCAAGCTTCGCTATTAACCTTTTATACTTTGCTCTTGGTTGTTTATGATCTCTGAATCATTCACTAGATTGCGTAGAATTTAAGCACAAGTGTTACCATAAAAAAAAAAAAAAAAAAAAAAAAAAAAAAAAAAAAAAAAAAAAAAAAAAAGTGTTACCATAATAAAAGACGATTACAGAAGTCAGTAAAATGAGATTTTCCTATATTATTTTTACATGTCGAAATAAATTCCTAAATAAATAAGATGTGAGGTGGGAAATAATAATCTTACAGTGAGCAGCAGAGAAGGTACATACGTGGCATGATGTAACTGGATATGAGTTACAAATGGAGAAGTCCGTTCGATTGAGTGAATTTTGTGAGCTCCACGTCTACTGGATAAAGATCCTGGTCCTGCCACGTCATCGTCTCTGTCTCCCTCCCCAAAAAACTAGAGCATCAAATTCGAGCTCAGCGAGTTTTCGTTTTTTTTTTTTCTCTATCTTATTAAAATACTTATCACCAGCCAAAATTGAAGAAGACATTGCACAGCTGATATTCGTAAAGCTTACATGGTAGATGGCAGTTAAGTTTCATCGGCCGGGTCTTGTATCGTCAAGGTAAACCAATAGCTTACATTTGTCTCGGGAATCTTCGATTTTATGGTCTTTTCGTGGAATTCATTACAAGGACTTTAGGGTTCCTTGCCACTGCGTTAGTTTGTACATCACAACTACTTTTTATGTTCTTCCTATTTAGTGTAAATGGTTTTTTGAAATTCTCGAATTGAATTTTCCTTTTTGGGTGAAATTTACCACCTTGGCGTAAAAGTCTGGTTTACAGAGAATTCCGGGAAACAAAAAAGACGAAACTTTAGTAGAATTTTACAATTAGTTTTCGTATTAGAGAGGCTTGAAGAAGAGCATCAAGGAGCTGAAATATATGAGACTTTTTGGGCAAAATTTCTCTAATTTTTAGTTCACTTGTTGTTGCACTTACTATTAGAAATTTGGTCGCTTCTTGGTTCAAAAAATGGATATCGAGCCGAGCTTCCATACTGAATAATAGAGTATAGACCAAGTTCTTTCCTAGGAATTTTTGTGATCTAAAATTCGTTATTCTTGCTTTTGTAGCTCTTCAAACCCTTGTCTTTCCCGGATGTCCGTTGGAACCTTTATTTCCTGCAGAAGAGTGCTACAATTGGATTATATTTCAAGCTGCTGCGGAAATTCGAGGAGTCAATTGTTTGTGACCTATCATGTTCTGGACAATAAGAACTACTTTCTTCAGAGAAAACTTTTTGGAAACAAGAAGATGAGTTGGTATAAATCGCGGAGGACTATGCAGCCTTTTCTCCTTGCATCTGCTGAAGACGGAGTCGCTGTTAATGGGGGTTCCCAGTCAAGACCCAGCGATGATGTTGAGGAGATGAGGGCAAAACTCAGTGGATCACTACAAGATGAATACAGCTGTGGTGAACTCATTCAGTCTTTGCATGATGCTGCCAGAACTTTTGAACTGGCACTTAAGGAGAAGATTTCCTCTTCCAGATTACCATGGTTTTCAGCAGCCTGGCTGGGAGTTGATAGAAATGCATGGGTTAAGACATTTTCTTATCAGGTCTGTACCATTTAACATCAATCTGTCCGAATGCTTACATTAGTTGGTTTGTTTGCACCTCCATGGTACCTTGATTAGGCAACTGGGTTTAAAATCAGGGCCAGAACCAAGAGTTCCCTTCCCATTGCACATTTAGCTGACACTAAGTATTTTTTGTCATAATTTTAGCTAAAATAGCTAAAGTTATCTTCTGTTCATCATTTTCAGGCTTCCGTGTATTGCTTACTACAAGCTGCAAATGAGGTTTCATCTAGAGGAAACAATAGAGACGATGATGTTAATGTCTTTGTGCAAAGGAGGTACTGCACCGCTTACTTAAGGCCTAAGAACTATGGCATGCAGCATTACTGAATTGTCAACATTTTGTTGTGTTCTTGATCTAGTAGAAATTTTTGTTCTTGTCTTTGAAAGAGAACAAAGTACTTAGTTGTGAGATTTATGTGGTATTGGTTTGATTTTTGTTCCCCAGTGTTCCAAAGAGTTTCCTTTCACCAACGTTGAAATTTTTAAAACTCAGTTGCTATCTAATTATAATCCTATGTTGCTGCTTCATGGTTCTTAATCATGTTTAAATAATCACATCTTGCAGTTTATCACGCCAAGCTGCTCCTCTTGATAGTATGATGCGGGATAAACTATCTTCCAGTCATCCTGAAGCCAATGAGTGGTTTTGGTCTGAACAAGTTCCTTCGGCGGTAACATCTTTTGTGAATTGTTTTGAGGGGGACCAACGATTTGTTTCTGCAACTTCTGTGTATGCCATTTCTTTTTACTCTCTTCATATTAGTACGTTCTGTAAAACATTCGTTTGACTGTGAGGTTTTTGGAAAGTGATGAAGCTTTATGTTTCATTTCAGCTATGTCAAAGGCAAGTCCTCAGCTGCAAGCCATGAGATTGAGGTGTCACTTCTCATGCTTGTGCTGAATTGCATCGCAGCAGTGACAAAACTTGGCCCGACAAAAATTTCGTGCCCGCCCTTCTTTTCTGTGATTCCAGATACTACAGGGAGATTGATGGACAAATTTGTTGACTTTGTTCCACTACCTCAGGCCTATCATTCAATGAAAAGCCTCGGTCTTCGCAGAGAATTTCTTGTTCATTTTGGACCTCGAGCAGCGGCATGCAGAGTAAAAAGTGACTGCGGTACAGATGAGGTTGTCTTCTGGGTCGATCTTATACAAAACCAACTGCTGAGGGCTATTGATCGGGAGAAAATATGGTCAAGATTAACAACGTCTGAAAGTATCGAGGTAATGAATAGAAACTTGTAGAGGACATATCTGAGCAGCTTTTAGAATCTCTATGCAGTATGGATGTGAGCTCATAGTATTTGAAAATATCAAAGAATTATGTGCAAGGGAAGGATTCATTTGGGACAGCCAATTCCATGTTGAATTTATTTGGTATATCATTTGCTGTGCCTTTTCTTATAAGTACTGTTAGAATATAAGAGCATAGGCGAAACAGTTTGCAAACTTAAGTGACACTATCTATGAAACAGAAATCTGTTTATTTTTTAGTTTTATAACTCATAGAGTGTTTAGATTGTTGAAATCAGTAAAAAATATGGTTGCACACTTGCTCTGGAATTATCTTGGGGAGTTTATCAGGACTTGTTGGTGATGCCTTGCAGGTTTTGGAAAGAGATTTAGCTATTTTTGGATTCTTCATTGCCTTGGGCAGGAGCACCCAGTCTTTTTTAGCTGCAAATGGTTTCAGTTCGCTGGAGAATCCTGTGGAAGACCTTGTTAGGTGACTCATTGTTTTGCTTCTGTTTGATTGCCATACTCTTTGATACACCCTATAACTTGAACTTGCTATCTTCTTTATTTAGGCACTTCATTGGGGGAAGTCTCCTACAATATCCTCAGCTTTCAGCCATCAGTTCTTACCAGTTGTATGTAGAGGTAGACATAAGTCATACCATCACTGGTTAAAATTTCCTTGAACTATATTGAAATCTTATCATGGAATTTTATAGCGTAGGTTGTCTGTGAAGAACTAGATTGGATTCCTTTCTATCCAACCAGAAAGGACTCCCAGCCAGCCGAACAATCACACGGGCATAAAAGCAGACCACAAGGGCCACCTAATTATGATGCTCTTCCACAGATATTGAATGTTTGCTCTTATTGGCTACAGAGCTTTATTAAGTACAGCAAATGGCCTGAGAATCCTTCTAATGTCAAGGCAGCGAAATTCTTATCCAAGGGGTATTTAACAACAGGTTTATAAAATAAATTGGATAAAAACAAAGTAATTGGCGATCATACTGATTTTTTCATTTTCATTTCTTTAGGCACAACAAGTTAATCCAGTGCCAGGAAGAACTGGGAATATCAAGGTAAGCTCATGAAGAGCGATGAATTGTGTAGAAAGAAGCTTCGTGTATCCATCTTTGGAACGCCTTACATATCCATCCCCATGCATTTTGCATTCTTGCATCCCTTGTTGTGGAGCATACTTTTTAGTTAACGATCAAGTAATTTGGCTGTGTGCAATTGGATTGTGTGTGATGCAGTTTGGCAGTAACAGAAGCGGGTTTTATTGACATGAACTCATCCTCAACTGATGGAGAGTCAAGCTCATTTGACAAGGTATGTTTTTTTCTTTTTTTGTGCAACGGCTCATTTGACAAGGTTTGTATTCTATGAATTTTTCATGAAAAACCACTTCACTTTTCCGTACACTATCTGAATCCAGTTTTTTGTTTAACAACTCCGTTGACTATCAGATGTACTATAGATCTTAACAGCAGTTATTTCTCAGGCTCTAGAGAGTGTAGATGAAGCTCTCGTGAGACTGGAAAGCTTGCTACAGAAATTGCATGCATCAAGCTCAGCTTCTGGAAAGGAACAAATAAAAGCTGCTTGCTCTGACCTAGAAAAAATAAGGAAGCTCAAGAAAGAGGCTGAATTTTTAGAGGCATCTTTCAGAGCCAAAGCAGCTTCCCTCCAAGAGGTTTTTAGTTGTTATTACAGATTTTTTTTCCTTTGATGCAGTTAGGATTGATATCTTAGTACTGACGATTGAGTTTGGTAGACTGTCCATAGCATACACCAATCTTCACCCTCTTTACAAAGTGTGGCATCAGTCTCAATGGGTGCTTGTAATATAAGAAATAGATCATTGCAAAATGCATTTGATTTTCTTACAACGTTTGTGGACGACTAAAACCTCATATGGTTCATACAGGGAGGTGGTGACAGTGACTCTCAGGAGTACTCTGAGGAACAAAGCCAGTATCTAAAAGGAAAAGACCCAAAGAATTCAAAAAATTCTGTAGATCAAGGCACAAAGTATGTGACTTGTTCTGTTAGTTAATAATTCCTTCTTTGCATTTGACTATTTGAGTTATAAACGTAGGTTTCTTTTTGTTTTCCTCTGGTTGTGGAAACTCATTTATTGTTTTGCATCTACATTAGTAGGGATCGTGGATTCTGGGGGTTTTTTGTTCGCACTCCAAGAAGGAAGCCTGGCCCCGAGTCATTGGTATGCTTCATTTTCTTGTCTTATGTTCTATCCTAAAGCATATCTCAGATCTTATTCTTGGGGCTATTTCTGCGTAGTAGTATTCGTTTTTTCAGTCCATTACTTGGTATTTTTAATTTGGTCTTCATGCTATGTTTAATCCAGCCATTTTCAGTTTGTTGTATGGTGAGAGGTTTCAAGATTTTTTTACATTATGCAGACAGATGAATATTTTGAGAAATCCAGAGAAAATGTAGATAGTGTGGATTCCAACCCTAATGAGATCTATCGGTTCGAACTTCTAAGGAACGAACTGATAGAGCTGGAGAAGCGTGTTCAAGGAAGTACAGATGAGTCGGTAAATGAAGAGGTTAGTAATTAGTAGTCAGACGCTGCTGCTAGATTTTTTATTTGTTTCTATATAGTCAATATTCTAAATATCTCTATGTTCTGCAGGGACGAACCTCTGAAGATCTTCCTAAATTAAGCAGCAGTATGAAAGGTGTGCAGTTGGTTCAGAGCTCAAAGAAAGAAAGCGTCATTGAGAAAACTCTTGACCAACTTAAAGAAACCACTACGGTATGAATGTCATTCCAAGCCTCATGGCATATGCATCTTCGGTTCATGACTTAGTTACTAACATTGCACTTTACTGGGATATTATGACAGGACGTGTGGCAAGGTACTCAGCTTCTTGCGTTTGATTCAGCTGCTGCTATGGAGCTCCTACGGAGGTCTGTGGTAGGAGATGAATTAACAGAGAAAGAGAAGAAAGCCCTACGCAGAACCATGACTGACTTAGCATCAGTTGTTCCCATTGGTGTTCTTATGCTTCTTCCTGTGAGTAAAAACTAACCTTCTCAATTTCACCGATATCATATTTCCATTGGCGTTGGTTGTTCATCCTCATAATACTGTTTCTGTTTTCTACAACGTTATACTGATCTATTGGGTTGCTCTTTGTACAAAATCCCGTAAACCAATCAAATATGTCCGAGTCTTTGAATTTTTGAACAAAAAAATAATGTCATGAGTCTTTGAACTAAGCTATTCTGTACACTTATTTCTAACAGGTCACAGCAGTTGGTCATGCGGCTATGCTTGCTGCAATTCAGAGATATGTACCAGGCTTGGTAATGCTTCTTTTGTACTTCTTCTCTCTGTACATTTCTTCCATTTCTACAATCAAGTTGACAAAAATCTTCTTTTTTTTTGTTCAGATACCTTCAACCTATGGAGCCGAAAGGTTGAACCTGTTGAGACAGCTCGAGAAGGTCAAGCAAATGCAAACAAATGAAACAGAGCCTGAAGAAGGCATTGATGAAACAGAATCATGACTAGATCAAGAAACATAAATTCAGTCTATACCTTAAGAAATCACTTTGTTCTGTAGTTCATTGACAAGAGTTGCGCATAGAGAATCTCATTCCATGTATCTGGTACGCCGGGTAGGCACCAGTGGCTACAGTCTTGAGGAACATCAACAGAAGTGCCTTGCTCTCGATACCGAGAAATATGACCATCTTTCCTGAACTCTGTCAGATATGTAATGTTCAGAAACTTAAGCTTACTATGTCGATATCTCATTTCTTCAATTACTTTATAGACATATTCATTGTGACTCGCATCAGGTTCCATCTTCCTTTTATCAGTCTCAGGCTCAATATCTGCATCACATAGACCACCCGTATTCCATGTCCCATTTCTGAAACAACGAAGGATTCAAAACTTGTAAAGACCCTGGTCTCTCAAGATAGTATAACAACTTTTATCTGAATATGTCCTAACCTGTAGTGCACTGGAGAGTAGCTTCTGAAGAAGACATAACTCTTGTCAGGATCAAGTTTCTCTAAGACCCATGACTTCCATGTCTTCAAAGACTTTTCAAATGCCTCCATTACTCCCATTGTCTTGTTCACTTTCCTTCCCTCCTCAAAATAGCATCCTCTGCACACACACAGAAGAAATAAACTCAGTTAAAAAGGAAGAGTGTCGAATTCTGATCATAGAAGCTGAGGGATTTCTCATACGTTAACACAGTTTTGTCTTCGTTCCACCAATGCCCTGAATTGAAGACCAGAACATCTGAGCCGACCCATCTTTTTGACTGCCAGTTAAATTCGTCGACTCTCACAGTGGTTTTGACATCTTTCGGTGATTTATCCGGTGGCCGGCCAATCACGACAAGAAAGGGTGTTCTGTGATACTCAACAGTGAGGTTTTGCCGAGGGAATCGCATGGAGAGAAAGCCCTTGTGTTTAGTTATGGGGTTCCCATTTACTTCATAGATTTCAGATTTATTAGGTATTGCTTGTGAGAGCATGCACATAAGAGATTCCCACTGGTTTCTTCCTATAGAATCTCCCACGAACACTATCCTCCCGTTCCGACTCCTCTCAAGAAAATCACTTGCGTTAAATCTAAACCATTCAATAGCCAGAAAAAGAAAAACAGTGATCATTAACTGCTAGAGAAACAAAAGCAAATGCGAACTAAGGTAAACGCGAGAGAGCAAGGCTTTCTTTTGTCAGAAGTAAGTGAGCCAGACCCTAACCAATGGAATCAATATATAACTTAAGGTCCAAGCAAGAAATATATTTTTAAAAGAAAAAGTAGACTGGTGACGTGGCACAATATGTTACCGAGGAAGATCGCAGCCGTGTGGTTGCCATCGCCAATCAAGATAACCAGAATCTTTTCTCCCATGCTTATGACAACGAAAACCAGAATCAAGAAAGCGACACTCTTCACCGTATAGTAATCCATTATCAGATGATGTTCGACGAACCCATCTGCCTTCGGAGTAATCGCACTCCTTTGTTACGGTTTGCGATGACGACGACAACAATCCGATACGAAGAAAGGGCAAGACGTCGACGACGACGCTCGAGAAGATGAGGAGGCTAAGTAGAAAGAGGCTAACGAATAGATGTTTCTTGATTTTGAAGATGTACGAAAATGAGCAGAGAGAGAAGAGTTGATGATGATCCATGTTGTGTGTGATCTCTTCTTTCTCTCTTTGAACAAGTCTTCTTCTCTTTCTCTAAACGAGAGAGACGTCAAACTAAGGCTATGGCTATTCGGTTTAATTTTTCTAAACAAAATAAAAATAAAAAATCATATGTAAGGAATAAATCAAATAATTACTTAATTAGTGTGTATATCATTATTCACTCATGGTGGAAGCTTCCTTGACCCCACGTTCATCGTCTTCACATCTTCCGGATTGTGATTAGCGACGACGTCACGTCTAACTAATTTCAGTTTGTTAAATCGCTTTATTTGTCGAACGTGTCATCAAGCTGCAAGATGCAAGATGCACGATGCACCCTTTTGGTCCAAGTGTGTTTTACATTTCATTATAGAATCATAATGGGATACAAATATACTTCTAGTTTGTTACTCATTTATTTGCTAGATACAATGATTTGAAGAAAAATATATATCATATAAGTAGAAAATGATATTTAACAAAACTACCATTTTGTACAAATTTTAGTGTTTGATTGAAGCTTCTTGTATCCTTTCGATGTTACGATCTCTAGTGTTCCAACTTATGTGGTTTTGTGCTATACCCTTAAGTCTGTAACAAAAATGAACCGGCCAATCTGGTGGTTTACTTTTGTAATAATATTGTTGATGTTTCCTAAAAAAGGAAAGATTGTTTGATGTTTCCTTTCCTAAATTTTCGGTTTTGTGTGAAAGATATTGATTCTTTCAATACAATCGGCTAAACCGAGCAATTAATCATATCAGAGTGAACCGAATCCTAAACCAAACTTTATAATCCCGTCCCAGTTCCCAAATAAATTAAACCGGCGTCGGTAAACTGAAGAAACAGAGTACTGAGCTGCGATCGGCGACTGTCTCTTCTCCGGGATAGTGAAAGATGAAGCTGAAGGTTGTGTATCGTAAGGTCTCCGATTACATTCGTTACGATCTCAAAGAAATCGTCTTACCTTCATCACTTCCCGATCCTCCTCACGTCGTTAAACGCCGCAAATTGACTTGGCACGAGCGATTTCTCGTGAGCTTCCTTCACTCTCCCTTCCTCTTTTTCGTTGAAATTTCCGGTAGTTTTCTATTTATAGGATCTGGGTATTCAAAATTTCCTTTCAAGGATAAACAAAGTTCACATTTTTTCGTGCTCTGATCTTCTTGTGCTCTATTTGTTTTTTTGTCCGTTTAGAGTGTGTGAATTCTCAATAAGGTCTTTAATCAGCAGAGTTTTGAGATGATACAGAACCTGGAAGCGTGTGATTTCATTTATGTATATGTTGGAATATCTGGAAAACAAATGTGAAAATTCTTTAGTTTGAGCAAAAAGGTTCGTCCTTTCTAGAAGAAGTCTGTAATTCCACTTCTCACTATTATCAGAGTAATTGGTGCTTTCTTCTCTTGATGATAGTAAATTTAGTGCTAATCACTGGGTGAACTATTCATGGTTGTGATTAGGTGTTGAAGGAAGCTTCAAGGCTTTATGCTGCAAGCTGGGTGCGAGATATAGGTCCTGAACTTCGTCCAAATGATTACAAGAAGCAAGGGGATGCTGAACCTAAAAAACAAGCAAAAGAGACAGAGAACGAGCCCTCTGTTTTGGAGGATCTTGGTAAGAACTTCTGTTAAGCTATTGCCTACTTTATATGTATCTGACTTAGATTCAAAGAAATGATTGAAGTTGGTAATGGCGGTCATTCGCAATTGTAATCTGGCTAGCACATCTTCTTAGAACTATTAGTAAAGCTTCTCCTTTGGTGTCACCAAACGTTTGTTATTGATATTGAGAAGTGCTTTTCCCAGCTAAAATTCACTGCCGCATTCATTAGTTTATTGGTTTCATGTATACTCTATGTCTACCCTTTTATTCATAATCGCTTGTTTTTCATTCTTTTTCTGTTACTCTTCTATACAGCGGTAGCTGCAAGAGGTGGCATGGAGACTTTAAGGCCTGCATTACATCGTCTTTACATGACACGAGCTTCTCATTACAAAGATGCTCTTGCAAGCTTTATAAAAGGTTACCATGAGGGTTTGCAGCAAGTTATGCAGAATAAAGCAGAGTCTGAAGCCACTGCAGATGAAGCTGACAAGTCCAAAAAGACTACCTGAACTTTTAGTTAGCTCCAAAAGCAGGATCTATTATGTGAATGCGAGTATGTACGTAGCTAGATCTTGGGTTCTTTGATGGTGTACCACAACAATCCATAGATTTCTATCAACTAAGTAGTCTTTCATGTTCAATGTACCCTATTTGTGAAGTAACTTCTTGAAAACAAAAACATTTAGCTTGACACTTGTGCTTCATAGATTTAAGTTCCAATTTTTGCAGCCTCTTCCTTGTGAAACTGCTGCAGGGAAGACATGTTACAAAAACTTATGTGATAAGCTTAAATGATATATTGTGATGGGTTTGATTCCCTTTACAGCTTATTCAGATTTTATTCTCCAGGACTTTTCTGAGCACAAGCTGGCTCATTGCACGGATACCTTGTATTGGTGAAGGCTCAGCCTCAGGTGATAGTTTGAACATGCTGAAACAATAGTGTAAGCAACTGTTTGAAATAGATGTCTGGTTTTTTCAGAGGAAAGACTTTCAATTTTCTTTGGTAATCTCTATACCCTTTTTTTCTTCCCATGTTAAAAGCATTGTTAGTGGAATTTTAATCCATGCTATCTGTAACAGTCTTCCATAATGCTGTTGCAGAAAAAGTTGGCTGGCCCTTAGAAGTTGTTAAAAAAGCATAGATATCAGATAGATTTCAGGGGAAAAGTTGAGCAGTCGATTCAGAACTGTACTTTAAGTCTTGTTATGATCAAAACTTTTATTGCAGGACAAACCCTTAATGCAGGAGGAGGCCACTGAGCATCTAAACTATAGCCAAAAGCTTCAAAGACTAGTGATAATGGCACATGGCTGAGGGTCCCTCTCCCACTTGCAGAGCCACTAAACCATTGAGCGGAGATCAATTAGCCTCAAGTCAACAAGTAAGTATCTTTTCTGAATCTTCATGGGCCCTTAAAGAAATCACCTGTGGCTAAGTAAGATCGAACGAAAGCAGCTTAAAAACTCATTTTGCATTACCTGTTGATTATCAACCTATGCTGTCAAGTCAACAAATGCGCTTGCCTTAAAGATTAGCACTTGCTACTGCACTTAAAATTGGAACATGTGCGCATACAACCCGAACATTTGTAGGTAGTGAGTGGTCATGATAAGGTTGTATTGTTTCCATCTCTGTTAGGCAAACTTTCTGTCCAATCAAGATTTAGCTTTACTACATTGGTGCCTTACGCAGATAGTTTCGACAGCTTCTTTTTGACAAAGCATCCACTTAAATGATTGTAGAATGGAAATTTGCTTTTCTATTACACTCATAAGTCATAATCAAGCTATAGCCGTCTCACTACCTATAGTATCTGAGCAATGGGTTCTCTTAACCCAAAACAGCCTTTGGATCAGGCTTAGAGTCCCTTGTCTGACTAGATATCTCTTGCCTGTAGAGGAATTAGATAAGTCTATGACATAAGAGAGTTAAGTCTATGCGTATCACCACATCCGCATAACTATTAGCTGATTAGCTAGAGTCGATGATTAAAGTAAGTAGATGATTCAACAGACTTGTTGAGCATGGAGAATGATGTTTTGATGTAAAGGTGGTATTCAAGAGTTACGTTGGGAATTCTCTTCAACAACTCTTTAGTTTTAGGTTAGATCTGTAAATGGACTCTGTATTTCTGTTGCAGTAATATAGGAGGGTTATATCAGAAAGCTGGTTAAAACCCATGGGATTATGGCTGTAAAACCCATGCTAAGTGGTTTTCAAAGAGATATAGAATGATGAAGAAACAATGTATGTGTAAAAGATATCATTGGATGAATCATACCACAAAACTCTTTTTGGAAGCACATGGAGGTGGATAACTGATCCCAATGATTGATTTTTCTTTTATATGAGAGAAGTGCACTAAAAGAAGCAGTACATGAATAGACAATCGCTTTCAACAGATGATTCACTGTTCATCTGACCTTAGTACATGAAAAAACAGCTTCTTGTAGGACTCTCTCCCAAAGTCCTTCCTTTTTTTATCTCTCTTTTTTTGTCAAAATTTGTAGACTCTCAGTCTTCAGAGATAAATTACGTGTGACTTGATTGATCTGATTTGAATTGAACCATTCCCTTACATTTTTGGTTTCTCTCCCAAAATTGAACTTGTTTTACAATTGCCATTGTTCACCAAACAAAAAAAAGTGAAACTATCAAAGAGGCTAGTAAAAAGGTTAAAACATGAATATAGTAAACTCCACAATAATAAACATCATTTGGTTGGCCCCACTTTTGTTTCTATAACAATCTCAACAATTTCCAATTTCATCTTTTTCACCCCACAAAAATCATCATTTGACAAGTACAACTATACATAATGCATGTATGTGAATACATCATCATCATCATCATATCAATTGGAGAAAACCTATCTTTTTTGAGTTGTGAGAAAAACAAATTTGCTCTTCTTCTCTGACTTTGGAAGTAAAGAAAAAAAGACTTTTTCCTCAAATTCAGCGATTTTTTTTTTCTTTTCCAAATTAGTTACATACAGTACGGAAGCTAATGAGATATTATTAAAAACTGCATACAAATTTCCAGAAAATTGGCCTATGTGGCTACAAAGTCTGGTCCCATAAAGCTTTTAAGTCAATTCCGAAAATGTTGTCACTTCTTTGGATCTCTCATCCTCGTCTTATCTCTCAGCTCCTTCATCGTTCCCCCGTGAAAGCTATATTCTGTTTTTTTTTGTTCCAAAATATAACACATATAGTAATAATAATAAGAAACTCTGTATTGTAACATCCATAATTATACCAAATCTGGAATAACAAAACATCAAATTTGTACACATTTCCTTATTCATGCTCGTAGTCATTTTCTTTTCTTTATAGCGTTGTTAGAATAACATTGCGGCGCCAGTAAACAAGAAAAGCAACAGTGATTATTACTGAGTCTGAGACCAACATATATACTTTATATATAATTAGGGTTAGTTAAAAACTATGTAATACTAAAATAAATGAAAGTGGGCTCAGACAAAAAAACAAATCAAAGTCACTAACAAAGTGGCCATGTGCGACTGCTCAAAAGTCTAGTGTCTCTCTTAACAGATTCCTGATTCCTTCCTCTAGTCTTCATTATATCAATTAATTATTTGCTCCTAATCAATCTCGTTTATTTAATTATAATTTCAACTGTCTCGTCTCGAGAAACAGCGTCATCCATCTGTTTTTAAATTATGTATCTTTAATAATAGTATATCATGATGATGATGTAATGTAACTCTACCTAAACTGAATCAGATATATAAATAACTTTTAAAAGAGTTAAAATAGTTTAATTACCATATCATGAGGATGAGAGTAATAATAGTACATGTTTTGGCCGTAGTAACCATCGGGAGATTCAACGGTGGTGGCAGCGGTAACAGAATCATCTCCGTCGTTTTCATCCATTTGACACTCCAAATCCACACCGAAAAGCCTCACTGTCCTTGAGCTTCCGACGACGGAAGACGACGGTGTGGAGTGAGTCTCAGTCGCTGTTGCTACGGCGGCTCCTGTAATCACCGACACGTGCGTGTCATTAATTAATTAATTGAAAGAAACCAAAACAAAAACAAAAACACAAAAGTACACAACTGAACAAAAAGCACGTTTGTCCCAGGGGATTGGACGGTCTTCTTCACGCGCTCTTATATGCGCGTGTATAGCTACTATATTAACTACAACTTGGAGAAATTAAGCAATCGAGGTCATTTTTTTTCTTCAACTATTAGTTAATAGCTGTATAATAATGTTACTTATCTCAGGTTTTTAATAATGAAGCATATAGTATTTTGTAGAGCTAAATATAATTTATCGTACACTATTAGCTAAAAATATCTATATTTGGGTGTAATGTTGTTTTAATCCTCCCGACAACATTATGTAGTCGATACTCTAGGACACGAACAATTCATTCGTAGAAAAATTAAAAATGTCAAAAGAAAAAGAGATTAAAATTATTTGATAAAAAAGAAGAGTCAAATAATTTGGTTAAAAAGAGAAATATATACCGTAGTGGGAATACTCTGAGTGAGAGGGAGGATTAGAGTAATTACTAGTGGCGTGGAGTTGATGATAAGAAAGAGCTCCCATAGAGCTCGTATTCACGGCGGAGTTAGTGGCTGCGGCAGAGGAGGAGCCTTGGCCACGTCTGCGCCACCCAATGAAGAGTCTCCGGGAATCAGAACGGTGTCGTTGGAAGAAAACGACGTCGCCTGGATCGAGCTGTTTGTCTTTGACAAATCTGCTCCATCCTTTAGTCAAGACATAGCTTTGACTGCTGTTCCAATAAGAGTATCTGAACCTCCATGACTTGCCTGACTCGTCTTCGAAGCTTAGAAGCATCCCTTTCTCTGACGATGACGTGTCAGTAGCAGCAGAGGAGACTACGACGGCATTGAGAGGGAAGTATTTCTCTGCGTGCTGTTTTGGTATGACGAGGCGGTTGAGTTTGCCGACGTCGCTTGGTGTGAGAGACTTCTCGAAGAGTGACTCTTTTAGGTCGTCGTGGAGCCATGTGGCGGTGGTGGTTGTCTCCGATGTGTCGGTGGTGTGGCGGTGTTGCTGTTGCCACAAGAGAGTGTGGTGGTGGTCTGTGGAGTAATGGTTGACTGACATTTTTCTAGGAGATAGAAAGCGAAAGAGAGAGAGAGGTAGGGAGCGAATGGAGAGTATAGGGAGAGAGGGTTAGGTGAAAGAGAGAGGTGGGTACTCGTAGTACTAATATAGTATGATACGAAGGAGAGAGGGATGAAAAAAATGGGGTTTTTGAGGGTTAAAAATTTGACGTGAAAACTTTGGCTAACTATTTGAGGAGAGAGTAACACACGACAACCAGAAGACTTTCTTTCTTTTAAGGTTTTGCGTGATGTTTTATCTTTTTCCATCATTATTACTTTTTTTCTACTTCTTGCAGTCCGTATTCTTTATTGATTTACACTATTTCCTTTTTTCTTATTCTATTTGCCTATATCATATTTATGTATGTACGATCATGTTCGGTGATTTTTCTTAAACACATTGGATTCCACGATTTGAATTTGAAGTATGACGATACTTTAGTATTAATATAAAGATTTATCATATGAAAATATATGTTAATTATGTATTATGGTATAATTTTGTAGGGGATATGAAAAGGTATACTCAGGTGAGGTTGGTGATTAGGACTTAATTAGGAGTAATATATAAACAAGAAAGAAGAACTAATTAAAAGGTTTAATTTAAAAAAAAAAAGAAAAAAAAGTTAGGCTACACGAAAACCCAAAGAATCAACCTATTTAGAGTTAGAAGGATCTGGCCATTTGAAAAGATAAATGCAATTATTGGGAGAAAAAAATAATGGTCAATTTGTTTTTGATGTCATTTCTTAGTAACATCCTGAAAAAAATTATGTTCTTTGCGTGCTTCTCGAAATGTTACCAAAAGAAGAAAAACAAAAGATATGGTGCTTGTTATTTCGACGCAATTAATAGAGCAATAATACACATTTTATCTGAAAAAAGTTACACGTAATTCACAGTCAACTGTGTGATATAAATGATACGTATAGTTAGGCCGTGTTCGATGTTCGATGCACTAACGTTAGCATTCGTCATCAGTGTGTTAGTCTCAGGTTCTTAAAAAGCCTTTTCATTGGTAAGTTATATCTATTTTGGGGATTTGACGAACACAATCAAAGTTTGTCATTAGCATTACACTGATATTTACTTGCAGCATCATTTTTAGTGTTAACGAATGTATTAATCCATTATTTGCCAAATAATTTTACATTAAGAATATATATTTTCTTTGAAATCAGAATATAATAATCTTAAAGCATATATATATAGTTTAAGAGGGTGTAGACGCGTTCTTTACTTTCATAAATACTATTGAAGATTTTTTGCATTACCTTTCCCATCTAAGGTAAAAATACTGTTACGTCATGGATTCAAGTTACAAGATATTTTTCTAACTTAAGTTCTACAAAATCTTTGGTGATGGTAATATACTATTTTTTCCTCAAGCTTATACTTGAATTGTTTTTCTTCAGCTTGAGGGTACATATATATATATATACTACATTTGTTTTTTTTTTCCTCATATACTACATTTGTTTATTGGGTCTATTTTAGGGGAATAAAAGATGACAAACAATTTGGAGGTCTAATAGCTAGGAGAGTAAACAGTAGCAGTATAGCTGCAGAAAATATTATATAAACTACTGAATAAGGCCGAGCATGTTTGATCTTGAGCTCCTCTGGGAAAGAAAAAAACGACACTTTAAATAATTATTAAATTCATATTTATTTATATTTAATGTTTCAACATATATTTATACCATCCATCTAACCTAACCCTTTGCCCAGACCAACATATTAAATAGTAAAAATAAACTCCAACTTATTAATTATACTGATTAAAAATACTTACTGCCTGACATAGTTTTGGACGGAAACAATATCAATCTCTTTTCATTCTTATAATAGATTGAGAAAATATGGAGTAGTTTTTTTTTGGGAAAACAGTGTAATTAATTGTTTATATTATATTTTGTAATAATTGATATATATAGTATATGTCCACTCTAATTTACCAGTTAAGCTCTTCAAATTTTAAAACTCTGAATGACTTAACTTTGATTTTTTTTTTTTTTTGTTGAGAAACGATTGAAAGTTAGGAAGCAATTTGTTTTTTGTTTTTTTTTAAAAAAATGGGGAGGTTAGGCCGTAAGAAAATTTAGTAAAAATTAGTATAATACACAAGATGGCGTAGGACCAAAGAAGATGACGGAAGCATGATGAAGAAAGAAAGAGATCCAACGGCTGAGAGTGCATAATGGTTTTCACCGAAAATAGATACTTTGCCCTCACGCAACTTGTGAAGGCATGTGCTTTGCCTTTCCCACACACCATTCCATGCATCTTCAATTCTACTCTCATTTATTCATTCCCCCGGAGATTAGACTTCCTTACATTTCTTAACATCATTTTTATCACAGTGTCGAAAATGGAATTGCGAGGGTAAAATACTGTTACAATTAATCATTTAGAAAATGATATATATTCTCATAACAAACTCACTCAATAAATTTAAAATTTTCACCATATATATACTTTGTAAACTACATCAAATTATATAATACTATCTCTTACATCTTAACTTTATAAATACAAGACATTACGAATTTACTGGTCGACATTTCTATTTTTCTTGATTTTAATCGTTTTCTACGGAAATCCTATAACTACCTGAAAAAATCCAAAAGACATGCAAATGGACACCTACGTGGTCCGCTTCTGTTTTATTTGACGACTTTTTTTACCAAATGTTTTTCTTTTATAGAAATTCCTCTTATCATTTTTTTCATTTGTAAAACAAATTATGAAACATTTGTCACGTGATTGCTGGACACCATTATTGGTGTTTAGACGTTTATATTTTTCTTAATTTCGACAAAATATTATTAAGATATACTCCCTCCGTATTTTAATAAGTGTCGTTTTAGGATTTTCTTTTTTTTTTAAATTAGATGTCGTTTTCAAATTTCTATGCAAAATTTTTTACTTTTTAATGTTTTATGATGTCATAAAACATTAAAAAGTAATAAATTTTGCATAGAAATTTGAAAACGACATCCAATTCAAAAAAGTAAAAATTCTAAAACGACACTTATTAAAATACGGAGGGAGTATATAACTACGGTGGATTCAACAATTTACACACACATCCTTTGATTTTTATCCGTCTGCCTTTGGAATTTTAACAAAATAGAACTCTAATACAAATAATCGACATCCATTTTTCCTTGACATAATCTATACTTACTTATGCATGTGTCTGTGTTTATATTTTTTTTCTTATCAAGCTTTCGGGAAAGAATAAAATGAAAATTTATTGTTGACTGTGGGCCAACTTCGCTTCAAGTAGAGAGGATCAGAGGACCATCTAAAGAAATTATAATAAACTCATAAAATAGCAAATGATAAAATATAAATAGAAAGTTATGGATTTTTTCCAATATAATCTATAAGCAGAAAACAACAATTATGCGATGAAATTTGTACACCATTGGATATATTACACAGAGAAAACAACAAAGATTATTTCCTCTTCTTTTCGTGTTTCAATCCTCTCCTCACAGATCTCTGTCGTTATTATAAATTTCTAAGTATTTCAAGTTTTCAACAGAAATACATGTTTTTTTGGGATTTTTAGAATAATACCTAGATTTCTACCTTTTTTCCCTTTATAGTGTACATATTAATCTATACTTTTTCAAATTTTGACATGCTAACAAAATATTAAATATGACATGTCGATCATAAATCTATGAGAGATTATATTTGTGGAGGATGACCTCCCACTTCAACTTATCAGAAGAGCACCGAAAATCACTTAAACGCAAAGGGAAGTAGTACATATCGATCGCCACTCCACGAAAGCACAAAATGTGATGATATTATGCTTGTGACATAGTTTGGATGTCCTGCTCTAAATCTCTAATTCAATCCCAAAAATCAGGTACGGATGCTCATTTTGGTATTTTTCTTCACCGGGTCAGGGATTGTAATTACGTTTGTGACATAGTTTTGGAATTTGTTTCATAGCTAAGACATGTCTTCTTCAGCAAATAATGATTGAATTAGTGTTGCAAAAAGATTGAGTAATGGACAAAGGCGACATCATTTCCAGGTCGATTTCGAGACACCTTTTTCGCATGTACGTCTGCATCAATTAAACACACTTTGTTATTTTATTTATGTCCTTTGCTATAAGTAATTTCAAACATTTATGTATAAGAAGTTTCTTTTTAAAATTTTCACTATAATAATATCGCACATGTTAGGGTCATTTCCTCTCCAATGACAGAAGAGGTTGTTGGGTTCTTGTATGTACTTTATCGTCTTTTTTTTTCTTTCGCTATATTGGTCATAATCTCGTAGAGCATGATTTATTATTTTCTTTATTTTTTTTGGTCTTTCTAATCCTATGCAATTTGATAAAAAAAAATGATTTTCTTCTTCTTTTTGTCACGAATGCTCTATGATTATGAATTTGAAACGAAGGGAAGAGATTGGAGTATATGTGTAATTTTTGGCAATAAATAAGGAAGGCTTAATCATGTAATCGATCTCCAGACTCCAATCACTGCACCTAGCCAAATTGATTAGTCTAACTTACATATATATACGTTTAAAAGTATATTCTACTGTTAAATCATCTTTTAGATATTTATTTCAAATTCTGCATGATTAAGTGGAATTTTTTCAAAGAATGTATTTTAAAATCTGTTTTTGTTTTGTCAAATTTTAACATGTTTTATATTCGTTTACCTCAGGTAGCAAAGTAATATATACTCACCAAACAAGGTATTGACTATACAATAATGAGTGCTGAAAAGTCTTATTTATAAACGAGAGCGACTGCTAATTTTCTTTTGTCAACATGACTGCTAAGATTAGGGGTGTTGTGTCATGATTCCACAATTTGAATAATAACTTTAGCGCTCTTGCAATAAACCCTATATAAATGTGCATAAAATACATAATTACGGCTATATAATCGGCGAAGTAGTGGATACCTCTCTAAGTTTTCCAAGCAATTAATTTTCTTGGTGGTACGTACGTCGGTACGTGAAATGTACTAATGAAGTCGTATGTATTATTTTAT